CCGGGACGGAGCACGCCGGGTTCTCACCGGACCAGGCTCTCACATCACCAAGCGCGAAGCGCCGTGAGATATTCGGCGAGTCGCATGAAGGGTGCGCTGCATCCTGCTAAGGGTGTTCGGCATCTTGTGCTTACTTCCTTGCGTACGGATGACAGCTGCGTATGAATTAATTTATTTTCTGGTGCTTTCACTTCCAGAGACAGTTGTAAGCACTGTGTAACTGCCTCGAGGGTGCTTGACCATTTTATCACAACGTGGTGCGATCATCCCCCTTGCGCGGAGCGAGGGTTATCCACCCCGCACAACATGATCTACTCGACCACCATTATGGTTACCGCGAAAAACAACCGGAGGAAAAAAAAAAAACGGTAATCTGGTTGCCGAGTTCACGAAGTGAATTGGCTTGTTTTACAACGTCGTTGCCAGGCGACGAAAACCCAACCCCNCGTCGTTGCCAAGCGACGAAAACCCAACCCCGATGGCAAACACCGGGGGGGGGATCTTGTTTTACAACGTCGTTGCCAAGCGACGAGAACCCAACCCCGATGGCAAACATCGGGGGGGGACTACTACGGTGGACGAGATGAAAATCATGAACACATATCATAGTAAGAATGGAATTGAATTAGCGTGGACTACACACTCAATCATCTGCATGGATTTACCCCTTCATCTACTTCGCTCTGTGGCAGGATACTGTAGCGTTCCGTGGCTGTGTATTCTTCGTCAAACAAAGCATCGTCTGGAGTGCCAACGACTCGAATCCTACTTCAGACATACATACATGGACAATGTAAGCTCAGTCAGTGGGGGTGCGTTGACATTACCTGTAGAACTTCCCCGAGAATGCTGTCCGCAGCATCCCGTACGCGCTTCAATACGTCAGCATCGCCTTCCCCTTCTCTTGCATTTGATCTTCCTTCTCCATCTTCGGATGGCAACGTGGCGCTGCAGTCCGCCAGGGCCAAGAGCAGACGCGCTCGCGCACGAGCCACTAGACACGCTTCATTCTCCCCTTGTAATTCCTCCAAGGTGGGATTGACGCCGAACAGTCCACGCTTTAGCAGGCGAACATGCCTGGGCCGAGATTTGAGCATGCTTACGGTCTGATCTGGTGATTTGTCCGCTGACTCATTCGTGTCCGAGGGGAACCTATTTTTCACGCGCTCCAAAGTTGTTTGGAATAGTGTTGCAAACGGAAACACTAACGTTTGAGAGAAGGCACCTCAGATTCATCGGGCCGATGCCTCGTCGTCACCCACTTCATGGCTCAGGAGAAAGGGATTCGTTAAACTGGATACCAATGTTTCTGGAACCCGAAATACATCTGTAGGACTTGAGCACCATGAATAGTACGGCGATTTAGAAGCATGATCCATGACCGCAATTTGGTCGGCAGAATCGTTGACTGCGTACCTCGAAGGTTCCCCCGTGGCATCCGAGGTATCATCGGCACCGATTCCAGGAAGCTCGCCCACGAGCCATGAGACCGCGGGTGCGTTGTCGGGATGGCCGAGGGGCAGGCTATTCCGGAACGGAGCGAACCCATAGAATGGGAGGCCAGACTTGGCCATCTGTTCGAACATAAAGAAGAGCAACATTTTTAGGGCGTGATTTTCGGCGGAGCTCGATGACTCTTGGCAGATGAAAGGACAAATATCGGATAATCACCAACCCATTTCACCAACGGAGTGTCCTAACCTAATTCCAGGACGGGCCCAATCTACAACAGAACCCGTGTGGTGGGTCAGCGAGAATTTACGATGATTCGGCTAGGAAAGTCTCCAATCTACACGCCTGCGAAGTGCAGGACAAACAATAGGGACACCACATATCCACACTTTTTTTCGTTTTCAGGACGTTCGACGATATGCAGACTCAATCTTCGGATACTGTTCCAGAGCAAATGTGTGTGTTGCTGCTCTGAATCGTTGGGTTGTCCTGGAATGTGCAGAAACTCACACAACCTTCGCAACCGCGACACCAAGGGCAGCTTGGGATGGGGGAAACATATGCTTTGCACCTTTACTCTAATGCACCCGGGATAAAAACCTGCCGCGGATATTGAACCATATCAATATGAAATTTCGACTCAAGAACAACGCCCAGAATACCCACATCTCTGGGATCACGCGCCCGGCTGACTTCAGCGCCAACGGACACTCCGCTATCCTTCTCTACTGTAGAATCTGCTGCTGATTTTCCCCCGCCCTTTCCTTTGGTACCCACTCCTTTTTTCGCTTTCCCTTTCCCTGCCACGGGTGTTTCTGCTTCCGCGGGGGCGGGAGGGGGGTCCTTTGAAGAGTTCACATTGTACCTTTGGGGTTCGCGTGCAAAGTTTCACACGCGTGACGGAATGCACAAGGCATGGGTTTGGATGTTGTGTTCGAGGCTGATTGTTGTGTGGTGGGCACGGGATGAAAGGACCTACTCTGCACAGGGGAGAGGTCTGTTGTCCATCTCTTGCTGCGGGAAAATTTTCACATCGTTTTCAGAAAATGTTTCTCCGTTGTGACCTCGAATCGGATCTTCGCTGTTACGGCAGGCATCACGGCGTGGGTAAGAGTGCGATCGACGTCTATCTCTTGTTGGTTCAAATTGCTCATCTACTGCCTTCGGCCATCGTTCCTACTAATGGCAACTCTTCCATAGGGCAGGTCTTCGATCATTGCAGCATCGAGAAAGATTTCTTACGATTCAATTTATGTATCAGCAACCACTTCAAACCGCTCGAACGTTTTACCAAACGAGTTACGGGGGGGTTTGAACCAATGCCCCCATGTTTCGAGGATATCGCCAGATCACGGGGGGATGGTCCCACCAAAGAAGATAACATATCTGTTGGGCCTGCTCTGTGCGCAATCAATCTTTGTGTTCGTGTCGCCTACGGCGTCAACCCGGCTCCGTCATTTTGCGCAAGGTTGGTGCGGCCGCGCCCTACTGTCGTCAACCAACACAAAACGGTGTTCTTTCTTCCCAGATGGCATGTGGTCGCGTTCACTCAAAGCAAATACTATGCATTAGCCTCAACCAAACAAGAGTAGCTTGGGGGGTTGAAGATTCGCGATGTCCGACCTAGTGCGTCGATATTCAATATCCATAAACGTACGGCTTTGGTGGACTCGACTTGTAAAATGCGGAATATTCAGATGAAAAAGGCAGTCTGAAGCGGCCCGATGTAGGAACGGTCACTCTCGCGAGGTACCTGCGACCGGCGTAGCCGGCTGTGGTTTTAGGCGTGCTCCCCCCAGAAAGCACGGCCGCTAACGCCGATGCAGCCTCCGCCGGAAACCCGGCCTCAGCGAGGCACTCCGCCCGCGCCAGCTGCACGCGGACGAGCTGGAGAGGATCTAACGTGACCTTTGATGCAACCTTGAATGCCAGAAAGAAGAAAGTTGTAGAAGGCTGAATTCGGCGAGAACAGGTATCATGTACCGCGGAACCGGGTCGTAGGAGAGTGGTACTTGGAACGAATTGGATAGGCCACGGATTAAGTGGTTGTCGGGACAGGCTATGGTGAATTATGCCACCGGAACAGAGGGCTGGTACATGCTTGCGCAACAAACTGCTGCTGCCTGCGTGGGAAATTACGCATCGCCCTGTACCATGTTCGATCCCTTTCCAGTTCGCTTGGTTGTAGGACTTGAGCATGCTCCGTGTATCAGGGTGTTTACAAGTAGAATTTGGCACTCAAACCTTGCGGTACAGAGAAAGCCTTCTTGCAGAGCCTGTCACTTGGATGGTTTCTCACATGCTCCAGGACCGCCTGAACCGGGAACGCTTCCTTGTAGCATCCCGCCGCCACCAGAACACCTTGAACGTGCATCAGAGACAGAGACAGGGACGACACCGACAATCTCCTGTCGTCTATCCACAGTCCAAGACTTTCCAGGCCAGGCCCTCCTAGGGTTTCCGGCGTGAAGGAGGCGTAGTCGCATTCCCTCTGCGTAGTGAATCAAGTGTGTCCGTGGGCGGAGGGACTTTGGTTCCAAACGTATGGACTTGCAGATGACAACTCAGGGTAACCACTGCACGGCGAATTTGTCATATTTAGCGAACGGGGGGGCTGGGTATTGCTAGGAATCGAGGAAGTCCGATAGGTCGGGCTCACCCTACCCGCACTCACCTGAGGGTATGGGAGTGAAATCTCCATGGGTGCTCGAAACATCTCCGCGGCCATGAGGCACAGGTTCAACTGCCCGCGCATATCGTTCTGTCAAAAAACATTTTTTTTATTAGCACATGATACATTACGAGGGGGGCAGGCTGTTGTTGTTGATTTGGTTGTACATACTTCTGTGGCGAAGATGCTAAACGAGCTGCGAGGCAAGAACTGGTTTGGCGTTTGTGTCGGTACAAATACCGAGTAGCGTAGGGAGGCAAAGTACGTGGCTTCGAGTGCGACGGGTGGTCGTGCACATGCGCACCTCACGGTGTTTTCGAGATTAGAACTCGGTATCCCACAGAAACCCCATCAATGTCCGAATAAATTGCGCCTGCGGATAAACCACTGTCGAATTTCTCGGCAAACGATTTCTTACGCCAAGCGAAGCCTTTCCGTTGTGCATGCTTTAATTGATTATGGGCTTGTTGGGGTTACTCAGTACACGATGCTTCTTTCCGTGGCACAACATCCGTCGTAAGGAAAATATGAAACACACCTCTGTTGACACATGGGTTGAAAACGAAAGAAATATTGCTAGCCCTGGGTTGGACTCCCGCATATAACGCACCACACGATTCCCACGGTTCTTCTAGTATGATCATGTCATGGACGATTTCGTCAATCTGGTTGTGGTGATATTTTACGATAAGGCATTGTCGCTGGTCCGTATCCTAGAACTAATCGTCTGGTGTGCTTACCTGCCCGGTGAACCTGCTGAGCTTTCCGAGGAGGGTGCCACCCGCGATACAGCTCCACCGACCGAGCGCCAGGGCCAGGGATCCCCCGCCCCCATGCGGCCCTCCCGACGAGGGGTGAGCAGCACGCAATGTTGAGAATATTGATCGCCAGTGCTTGGTGGAGTCCTGCTCGGAGCAATTTGTTTCGGGAAGAGTAGGCAGCGTTTAATTCCATCCGTCCAACTTCGTCATGCTCGTCGAACGTTTTTATGTTACCTGGTGGAGAGGGTGACTTGAAGGGGTGAAAACGAGCGAGCATGGCCTTTGGAAGTAGTGTGCCTGCGATCTGAGGTGTAAAAGCAAGAGAAACGAAGATATCGGCATGGACTTGCACTCACCAGAGCTGAGCACAGGTTGTCGATAGCATCCATCCAACTTTTAGAGGCTGAGTCGTAGTGTCCTCCCAGCGCCTGTGTTCATCACACATCAAGAGTTGTAAAGAAATAGTCGGTAGCCATGAATGTGGCCAGCAACGGTTCATAAAACGATCAAAATACATTCAATCAACAAAGTCAACAAAGGAAACATTATCTAGTGCTTCATATGTCCGCACGTGCAGGTCTCCCATGTCGCACAGGGCCTCTGTCAGGAGTTCCCTCTCCCGCTTGTCCCTCAGCACGCCCACAGCTCGTCCATAAACCTTCAACACAGCGCTCTCAGACTTTTCGACCAAGCGAAAGTCCGGAGTATCTCCGACACCGTCGCCATCGCGGATGTCATTATCCGTTGGAGGGACGCTCCCTGTGGGGTATGGCGCAAGCAGCAGTTGAGGGCCAAAATTATGGCTTCCTAGAAACTTTCCGCTTCTTGACCGCTTACAAGAGACGAGAGACAAGGGGTCGGATGGTCATGATGAAATTCGATGTTCTGCTTGGAAGTTCATTGGACGAGAAACGAAACATGCGGCACATCAATATGCGGCTGTCATTGAGTCCCTCGATACTGCCCTTGCTGCAAGTGCACTTGCTGCAAGTGCACTAATGTTCTGACCACGGATTCACCGCAACAACCGTCTTCTGGGACTCACCGTTGGCTAGTTCTTGACGAAGAACGTTTCCGTCGCCAGCGGTGGGAGATTCTGATGAAGCCAATGGCGACGGTGTCGGCGACAGTAGAGCGAGGTGTTTCACGAGGGTTTCTCTCGCGTCATCTAGAATACGGCGACCGATCCTGTTTGTTACCAAGGAGGTTGATGGGGGAAGAGAGGGCAGGAGAAAAGAGGATTTGTGGCTAGGAGTGAGGGACACACTCTAACCCTCCACCAAATATTGCCCGGGAAACGCCTTGCTGTAGAGAGCTCTCTGGACCACATTCGAACCAACATATTTTACTCGTTATCGGATGAGTTGTAGAATCTACTGGGAGATATGACGTTCTTCATTACCCTCATCATACAACCGTTGCGAGCCTGCTTCTGAACCCTCTTGTAAAGGCCGACAGAGCATGCTGTTCCACCTGTGTCAATCTTGTGCTTCACACACTGGCGGACATCATGCTCCATCACCTACGGAGAATTCATATTTGCGGCGTTGCTATTACTGTTCAGTGTTCGCTTACTCTTTGGTTTTTGCGTAGTTGTCCCGCGACTGAAGTAGCGTGCCAAGGCGGTGGTCGTGAATCTGCTTTCGCACCCTCGCGTTCCCAACATCCTCGACCAGCGGCTCTCTAGCTCGCTCGTGCTCTATTTCCTCCTTACTCTTTGTTTCCAGTGCTTTCAGCACCTGGGTAGAACGGTCGATGCATTGCGAGGGTCAAAGGTCATTCATGGTGGAAGAATGAAACAATGTTGCCCAAGTTCGGCGTTTCGTACTCGCCCCTCGATTCACAAGTGACGTCTTCTCATAGAATCCAACGTGCTTCTCTTGTGACCGACGCCTCCAAGACGAGGGAGAGAGGTCGAAAATATCAATCATTCGAGCTTTTCACGCCACAAGAGCTGCCGCCTATGAAAATTTGCTACTGTAATGTTCGATGACATGGAAGTGGCGAAAGTCCTCGCGCTTTGTCAATACCCGTGGCCGCAGCGATCCGGAAGTCGCACGGAACGAGTGACATACCTTTCGGCGTCGGCGCTTGGCCTGTGCTTCCTTAAATTTCTCGTCGATCGCTTCAAGGCGTGCCTGCCTCATGGAAAGAAGGCTATCCGCCAGAGAACAAAGTTGTTTCTGCGCGTGCAAGATGAGTGGATACACCCTGTTCCCGCCGTAAAGACCCCCGGTGGACGCCAAAAGCCTGCTCCCGACCTAATGAGTTCGTGGCAGGTCAACTAAAGGTCAGGATCGGATGGTATTTCTGGTTTAGTTTGGTAGCACCAGATGTTGGCGGGCTTCCTGAGACCTGCCAGCTTAGCCACTACGGGCACCGCATTGAATGTACGAAAAAGACGCTTACCGGACCGGCCGGTACATCGCCGTTCGACATAATAATATTCTTTGCGGCTTCGAGCCGATTTGAAGGACATACCAGCCCATGAACATACAAAAAATCCAGTCCACTAGAATCCTAACTTTTTCGTGCCCATCGCTCCATCTCTACTGTACTTGGAGGGCAGGACAGCTTCAACAGGCCGAAACCAAGACTAAGCAATACTATTTACAGCACGACCATGACGAGTAGGAGCGCTGCGTGTGACGAATCGACATATCGTCCAGGTTAAGAGACGACGCGACGTGCGATCGAAGGGATCATTGTCCACGAACAGGAGAGTGAACGCAAAGCGTTGGTGCCCCGAATTTTATGCGTAGGAACACGTTCACGCAACATCAACTTCTCACCTTGACGACTACTCCCCAGCAGCGGCACCGTAGGATCCCTTGTAGACCCCACTCGACAAACCTCGAAACCCAGCGGCTATCCAGAGGCGTGGGCAAGTCGGAAGAAACTTGGGCTGATTCCCCAGCCTTGGTGTTGAACACATTTGAGTTGAACATAGAAATAGATAGCACACGACGGGGTGACGAGGGTGGTGAATATAGAACAGTGCCATTGACCTTCCCATGCACTACAAGGGCCGTTCCAAATCCTGAAAAAGGTATTTTTCTTGTGTGTCACTGTCCATAGCTCTGCGTCCTGAGGTTGATTCATACTTCGATACACCCACCTCCGCCAACGCCAAGCCGCTAGTCGAGCCCTGCGAGAAGGATTGTGCTCATCAAGCTCCTCGTCGATAGCCAGCGAAAGAGGATCGGCTTCACACATCGGCAAGATCCGACCAGTTCATTTCGCTCTGGTGGCGACTTCCGATCAGTCTCACCAAACATAATATTCTCACATCCAAGCGATCAACTACTGCCTGCGATGCTTCCGCGACAACCATGCCATGTCGTGCCCAAAGCCTTTCATCTTGGTAAGCTAACATCAGAATGAACAATGCGTACTACATCTCCACGACCACGAAATGAAACCAATTCACACCCAACCAATCACGCTCTGTAGGGTTCACAACAACGACGGGCTGTGCATGCACAGCATTTTTTCGTGCAAAGCAACCAACGACAAGCCAACAGAGACCCGTGTGTTGATACGAACATCTACATATCCGCCTCGGTGCCTGTACTTCTGACTCTTGATTCGACAAGGGTGGACCCTTTGCTAGCGCGAGCTGAACACCGGGCACACCTTTTAATGCACACACTTCCGGCAACCGCTACCCTCCTACCTTCAAACCGACCCCGCCTTCGTGTTCAGAGCTGTCGTCGTCGGCGCTCTCCTGGCTCGACCCTCTATTTGACGCCAATCCCCTTCGGTCACCACCACGGTCAATACCATGGGCTGCATCCACCGCATCAAGCAAGGCCTGCATCATGGCGTTCATTTGGGCATAATCACATCAACACGATGTGGTCAGCGGTTCAGATGTAGGCCCGGGTTTTCCATGAGTACAATGGAACGACGCGAGTAGGACAGGGGCCCAAGGGCATGTAAGAAAGTTGGGCGGTTGTTCCGTAACGCCTGAAGCCGCGCCAGCCGTCTGACGTTCACGCAGTCAAGTGCCGGAGACGCAGTTTCACGACTCGGGAAGACCAGCTTTTCCCTCTGACTAGGAAATCGGATCTGATAACAAGACCGATTTCTACGGCACGTGCCATGTTGCCCCACACCCGTCGCAGAGTTTCTCCATCACAAATATTTCGAGCTCTCGGCCAACGCCCTCCTCGTCTTGCTCCTCGCGTAACTCACCTCGCATGCCTTCGCGTAGATACGGCCATGGTGTTCACCCAGTGGGAGGCCCCACCCGACGCAAACCTCCGCGCTTTCTATCGATCGAAAGTCTTGCGGCGATAGCCAGAGCGCGAGGATGGCGTTCCACAGCAGCCCACATGACCTCTCGGTCTACGAGCAAAACGGCCACGAACTTTTGTGTTGGTGTCGTTGGGTGGTGACTATGTCACTGTGTGTCCGCTGGAGGACGGCGTGTCGAAAATATCGACCATGTTCCTCCCGCTGAGACCATTTGACAGCATCAGCACCCCATGCTGGTAACAAAGGAACCTCTTTCTTGCCTATGGGGTTTAGCTGGGCATGTTTCGCATAGACTCTCACCGTTTCGCACCTACACCGGATAGCGGTTTGCATCGTTCAAGAAAAGGCCTCCCCACCGCGCTGTGCTAATGGTACCTAAGCTCCGTGGCGGCCGGCAGACGATCGTTTGTGCATGGGTTGGTGCTCATGGCGGTCAACAAGCCACCCATTATCACCCACAACAGGATACGTTAACACGCATCGATTTTTTTTTCCTTGGTTTTTTCTTGATTTGTGCTCTTCTTACCTTGGACCACGAGTGCGCGTGCCGCGCTCGACTTGCCGCCTTGGTCAGGTGCAGCATCGCCATCGAGAAAAAAACGGCGAACGCGTCCCCATCAGCGCTTTTTCCGTGTTGATTATCACCATTGCCGCCAGCGCTATTTCCTTCGTCGTTGTTTTCGCTAATGACTGCCCCTTCGACGGCAGAAATCGTTTGATTTTTGCTCGGCCATGGCGTCCCGTCGTCCTATTGTTGACAAACCAGCGGGTGTATTCAGAATGGCAGAGTGCAAGCGTCCAGTGCTGTGGGACACATGTGGTGATCGGTCCAGAACAGAGAGGCAGGTGCACCAGGATCGAGCATGGTTGACGCAAAGCAAGCATCGCAGGATTTGCCCATGACCGTTTCGAGATCCTGCGTAATCAGTTTCCTCAATCTCACCTCGAGCTGCGAGATGATGTCCTCTTCGTCTCTACCATGATCACCACCTCTATCGCCACCCCCATCGCCACTTATGTCCCTGCCGCCACCGCCCCCTTCAACAACAAGTTCGTTTTTCGACGCGAAGACTTCGGCGAACGGCCCGGTCCCATAACCCCACGGGAGTCGCCCGCCCCCCGCGGCCGCACACACTTCCTTGACAGTTGGCCTGGAAGCCTCAACTGGCGGCGTCGCTCTTAAAACCCCTGCTACACCTGCAGGTATCGACGATACAGGGTTCGCTGCTATCGCTCCAGCACTGGCAGCGGGCTGTGGATGGAGCGAAGGAACCTGACCGTTGGCAGTAGGTCGACCGGTCGCCAGCTTGCTAGCACCCACAGTAGCGGCGGCGGCGAGGCCCAGCTGTAAGCAAGCGGCTCCGAGGATGTGTTCCACCTCCGCCAGCCTCAGGAGCTGTTCGGACTCCGCTGTCGAGGCAGCCAACGTCAGGGCGTCCATGCATTCATCTCCCTCGCCCTGGTGGGGATAATGGACGAATGAGGGGCGGTGAAATACTTCTAGTCTGGATGGGACGGTTCTCGTGCTCATTCGACGAATGGCGGTGTGCTACGGTATGGCGGGGCTGTTGGGCGTTTGGCTGATAGTGCGAAGAGGTCAACGGGACAGGCAAGCCTTGTCTTGAAGATCTGGGGTAGAGGGCTGAGCGCTTGTCGCCGTTCTTCATGATGAATAGGTTCGTCAGGCTTACAACTACATTAGTTCGAGATGGCAGGGGACTCTTGGTGACGTTTGATGTACTTGTCTGCTAACGCGTGGCTTTGAGGTTTCCACTCAGGCAACCGGCGACGTTGTGCAACTCCAGACGCTTGTGCGGAATAGGTAGGCGCCTCATGAAGTGCCACCATATATTTCCGTGTTTCAAGAAAATGGTGGTTGCGTGTGTTGGTGAATTCTTGTCTCTACCATGTTTCACTCTCTCCCTTTCTCTTTCTCGATCTCTCTGCCTCTGTCTCTCTCTCCCATTCTTTTTAGATACACCGTACAACAAGAAGGCATGTCGTGCTGATCTAACTCACTCGCGTGTTACTACTCCGGTCACTGCGATCGCCTGGGTCGACGTTTGTCCCTCTTTTCTCAGCCTCTGCAATGTCTCCCTCGTCAGTCACTGCAGCAGCTTCGCCACCCGCGTTGCCTTTGGAGTTGTCAGCCCCCTCGTCAATACCTTGTGCGGCTTCTACCGACATCATTCCCGTGTCTTTGTTTCCAGGGGCTGGCACGATGTACGGCAAGTCCTCGAGACCACCCTCCAGGGCCAGGACCTGACAGATGAGCGATTGTGTACCGATCGTAGGCAGAAGGTGGTATACCAAAAATAACTGTGTTCTCTGTCATGCATGTTATTTGTGGTCAGTGGTCTGTTAGGGCGTCCACCAAGCAGAGCGTTATGTCATCCAATCACCAGCCGAAAGATTCACAACTCTTTTCTCGCTACAAACCAGAGAGGTCCAGGAGATATTTCTGGGGGAAGGATTCTTCATTTAGATTCTACCGAGCCTAACAGCATGCCTTTGGGAATCGCCCCTTTGTACGAAAAACAGTACTAACGACTACAAGAGTGCTATAAGCGGACGTTTAAGCGGTGCTTCTCGGCAAGTTGCTTCGAGACGGAATCAGACACACGAGACGTATATGTTCCTTCGAGGTGCTACATCGCCAAAGTTACTCCGAGTTCCGTTGTCAGAAGAAATCCGCCCTACACAAGATACGAAACCTTCGCGGCCAAGGGTTTCAGGTCAGACTCTGCCAGCACGTGAGCACATCCGCGTTCTCCTGCTTCTGTGCCCCCGGCAGCACGATCTTCCGCCGTGGTGCCGGCGCCCGTAGCACCCAGCTCACCAGGGTCCAGCCAGGACACCACCTGATTGTCGGTTTCGCACCCATTTGGTCGTCTACTTGATGATGTTCTAGCGCTCCAATAATGTGCCGCATGTGAAGTGACCATTTTGGACAGAGAACCCCGAATGTACGACTACGGGCTCGCTGGGCAAGGTTGAGTCGAAGGTTGTGACGAAGCGCTAAACATAATGAACACGTACCAACAACATGGTTTGGTACCTTCTCCGTGTTAACATGATGAGAAAGGCTTCAGCAAGCAAGTTTTTCATTTTTCTGCGAGGGTAGCTATCGATCTTTGCCGGAACTACTCATGGTACCTGCTGGGCCATTCCTCTGTCAAGAGCAATCCAGCACACCCTGCACATTAGTCGCGCTCGATCTGAGTGAGAAGTGAACGCTTCCCCCTGCAGAAGTTCCCACGCCTTTGCAGGGTTCTTGTGAGCGCATGACATCACCTGTTCGACAGCCTGAGATGCCGAAGAGTCCAACGATACGCAAAGGGATGTCGAAACGCTGACGGGGAAAGGGAGATGCGTGGAAAATTTCGAATTCCTCGTGGGTCTGAGGTAGGAGTGTGTGGTTGTTGTGGTTGGGAATCGGGTCCACGAGAATGAATTCATGCGCGGAAATCTCAGAATTCTACCATCTTGATCCCTGCCCTCCCTCGAAACTTTTTTTTACTTCGTATAATTGAATCCGCGCACTTGTTCCGTGAAAGGAGGACGGGCATGAAAACGCTCACAACTAAAAAAATGCCAGGTACGCGCGTAGGACGCGCAAAGCAGTATTGACAGGCTGGATCCAATTCGATTGGCGCCTCGAGATCAATTTTGGGAGAGTTTCACCCACTGTATCGCTGAAGCAGCGCCCAATTCCGTTGAACGCTTGTCCAGTTGACTATTCAAATAGTGTCCCTCCCTCGGAGGTTCCGCGGGTCTGGGCCCAAGTGACAAGCGGGTTTGGGAGGCGCCAAGCATCACACTTTCATGCCGTGCTTCTTGGTATCTTCCAAACAGTTTGTGCGCTTGTCGTTTCTCGGTTTCCGCGTCAACATCTTGTTGTTCGGGACCGCCAGAGAACATGAAACCAAGGAACATGTAATTCCTGGAATGATGGCTTGCCATTGTCCCCTTGCTTGCCGGAACGGCACCGATCGAAGGTCATGTTTGCACCAGTCATCCTGGCGAGATGAGACACCAGATACTACATGAGTGCAGGTCAACATCTATCCCACGAAGAAGACTCAAAGCTCGGAGCCCTTCAGACATGGAGCGGAGCGGCGGGCGTCAAGAATCTGCCCTGCTTCGAGAAAATACGAACTGTTTGTGTGCGTCTTCAACGAATGAGTGTGGCTCGTGGCGTACCTCCAGCGAAGGAATCGGGGCAACCAATGCATCCTCTTCCCCCGCGTTCCCACCCCCTCCCGCAAAAGGGGAAGCACTGGTGGCTGAATCCGAATCCTCGAGGTCGAGCGCTTTCCGAAGCTTGGAAAAATCTGTAGTAGCCCCTCCCGCTTCGCCCCCTGCTGCCATCCCATACCCCTGAAGTCCCATCCATACCTCTAGAAGTGCTGCCTGGGCGGGTGTGCCATTTTTCAATGACAGGTCTCTTGTTTCTCCCTCGGGGACGCTTCCCTCGTCTTCATCCGCCCCCTCTGCTGCTCCTACTCCGGGTGCTGTAGGAGACGATTCCTGTCAAGGTAGAGATGAGAAATAGTAAGGACTATTTTGCACTGTGTAGCGCCGATGCATGTTTCGTCCTCCTGCTCAGCTGTTGGCCACCTCGACCAACGGGCGAAATGACTCCAAGGGCCCCAACCAAATGTGAACCCTCGCAAAATCTCGATCCACAACGTGGCGGACCTGTTTCTCCGTGTCACCAACATTCATCCTCAACGTGATGATTGGGCAGACTCCTGCGGACGCACGGGGGGCTGTCGCCCTGGGCGTGTATCATAAGTTTACACACCAGTCGTCTGGCGCGCCCTCCCCCGCTCTCCTGGCCATCATGCCACGCCCAGTAGTTTTGAGAATAAGCAATGACGAGACCACATGCTCGGTTTCTTATGCGCATATTGGTTGTGCTGCGCACAAAGGGCAAGATCGCTCGGTAGATGGCTGTATTGTTGGAGGGAACGACAGACTTTGAACAACAGCAAGCAACTGACCATAAACACCACGGCTCCGGCCGAAGCGGTGTGATCCCCGTCCGGTCCGTGATCCAACAGGGTCGCACGTGCTACGAGGTTCTCGCCGATTTCATGTCCCTTGATAGTGATCTGATGAGACAAATGATGATTGCACGGCCGCGTAGGGGACCTTTCGATTTGTGGCGTATGTGGAAAGCCAAAGCGCACGTGCTGCTAAATCGATGCTCTCCGAGGTCGAAACTGTGGAACACGTACAGCTGGGAAATCATCATTCAGGCTTGGTCGGGCAAGAGATCACGGATGTACTTGCCAGTATCCATGAAATAGAACAATACCAACATCATACTGAGCTATCGCAACAATCTGAGGGTTTTCGCAGCAAAGACTAAGTCGGGCTCGGTAGTACTTTCATATTACTAGTTTTGATGCAAACTCAGCTTTATCCAGCGAACCTCGCTCAGGGGTTGGTGTCTCCAAATTCGACTTCGGAACGGCAGCGAAAGGTTGGTACATCAGGTACATCGCATATAGCTCCTCTGCGACGTGTACGTGGTCTAATGGAAGACTCGTGATGTGTTGAACCTCAGGGTGCTACTGTTAAATGGGCGTAGGAACCTTCGTTTAGTCCCAACTCTCAAACACCTGGTATGCCAAACACGCAAACGTGCTCTTGATGACGTTGTCCCACCCGTCTCCCCTCGGCACCAAGGACAGGCATTGATGAAGCTGGCACAAAACCTACCAATATGAAATGGGGTGCGGGTTACTCGTTCAGTCTCGTCCTTGCTGCATCTCTTCCGTTTGATAACACACAGCTTCATTCGTCATGTGTATTTCGAACGTTGGATCCCTCCTCTTCACTTGCTCGAACTCGGTAATAATGGTGTATGGAGGTTTGGAACATTTCCGTTGCAGCAACCATCGCGATCAACAACGATGTTAAGCTAGGCAGGCGGGCGGGGACAAGTCGAAAGAGATCTGGCCAGGATGCCATGCCTGAAAAAGTAGACGGCCCATGGCAGCCACCCGCAAGAGCGGCAGGAGAAGATGGTATGCCTTCCACACCCCGCGCGCCACGAGGTCCCAGTCTTGGAGAAGCACGGCCACTTCGCAGGCTAGGGATAGGCGCTTCAAAGCGACCAAGCGCGCCACCTGACGTGGGAAAGAGTGGACGAACGTAGCACAACATATGGCTTGTGAATGTTCGCGCATGAACACGTTCGCTTATCCTCGCAACGAGGGACGCCATCGTCAAAAGGGAATGTTTCAAGGGCGTCAAAAAGTCGCCAGCCAGCTTTACATTATCCTGTTCCTCAAGCTGCTGAACAGATGGTCACGAGACAACGATTCAAGACTGCCACGAAGCTGCGCGCCAGCTTTTGAAAAGCTTTGGGTGATGAGGATAGAACGCCCGTGCAAGCAACCGTTATCATTCCCTTTATTGCAGACCGAATCCCGAGAGAATCCTCGATGAATGCAATTGAATGACTCACTACACGGGTCCACTGCCCTAATATTTGGTTGGGCAGACCTGGTGGCCTACACACGACAATTCCATATTTTCAGCAGTGCAACTTTGTGTCGCGTACACTCCTTGCTTCCTTTTCAAAAACATTTCAAGAGTGTTGGGGCCCCCCACCTGTTCCTCGAGCGGGCCGCCACCTACAGACTTTGCTCTGACCATCGCGTCTTCGTCCGCAGTGCATACTAACACAAAACAGGACTGCACGAAAGCCTGTGCGATTGAGCACGATATTTCAGCAGGGAAGGGTTTGGGTGAGCAAATCGATACTATCACATTGACCACGACCACGCGTTGGACATTTAACGAGTGGTGACTGCCTTCTTGATGAATTGTAAGCATCAGCCTATATGCTATCTAACACCCGAAGTGCACACCTGTCACTTCATTGGATGACGTTAGCTGTAGGTTCATCCACCACTCGAAGGCTCTTGGGATACCATGATGAACCGCAGCAGGGAGTTGAGGAAGAGACGAAGCTGTCATCTATCATACAGTAGTACTTGCTTCAGACATATACTAGTGTTTTTCTTATCTGTGTATGAGTACAGCACCTGAAGGACCCCCCTCGGGCATCTGTCCAGGGCCTCAGGCTCAAAGGCTTGACCGACCAAGGGACTGGCCATCCATCCATCGCGAAGGTCAGTGGTCACGGTCCCTCCAATTGTCGGCACGTCCTTTGTGGCTTTGGCGCCACTGTTGGCCGTTCGCCCGACCACTCCATGGCGGCCTGCTTTCCTTGCTGAACTACTGGTCAGAAGGTTGCCCGCAGCTAGGGTCATGAGCTCTCGATACACCTCCGTTGCCGCCTAGATTAGAAATTGGCGCACGATTTTGCGAGGAGGGTGAACAAAATCACAAAACGTTAGGCAGTTAGCAGGTAGATAGCGAAAGCCGCTCGTTCGGCTGCGATCACACTCTTGGTTCCCACTCTCACTACACGGCAGACGCGTTTCTTCACCTGAGCGGCAAGAGACGAACACCCGAGGCCAAGCGCCGTCCGTGACAGGTGCGCCCAGCACAGCGGCAGCGGGAGAGGGTTCAGGGTTTCCACCGGGGAGCAGGCCTCGCCGATGCCCTCTCCGATTAGGTTCCCTTGCTCATCAAATGCAGCGACGGCGAACACCTGATGTAGAGCGGCATATTACAGCACCAACATTTGCCGTTTTGGGAGATCGTCGGTGGGGACACTTAGAACGAACTCGCAACCGTACGGGATCGCGTTGTTTCTCGCCCATCTTCCCAAGCAACCGATACAAATCTAGTACCGGAAGCTCCACTCAAAAGCCCGACGGGTACGATGCTGGGGGTTCGGTAAGGGCAATATCCCAACCAACCCTTCCAGGAGCTTAACATGTCGACCGGACAACTTACGTAGCTCTCATTGGCGACGAGTCCGCGGATTGAGACAGCGTGGCAAATCCCCGTGCTTTCGTCGAAGGGTATCGGCACTCCCAACCCGGCATAGTGTGTATTGCTCAAAGTGACGCCCGTGCCAGCTCCCTCAGGTTTACCATAGATGCATACCTGTACGTTTGTGGATGAATACGAAAAACCAGGTTCACAGCAGTGATTTTCCAGAGTGAGTCTGGTGAAGCAGTCAGAAAATAGTCTAACAAGAGTACCAGCCAGTGTCGCACCCGATCGTTCCATGCATAACTAGGCGCGAATAGAGCACTGAACAGTATCTGATTGAAAATAACCCCAAAAGAAAGATGTTGTTGCCTCCCGCTGTCGCCGGCGTCACTTCACATTAGACCACCCGTGATAGGGCACAAGAGCGCGAGCAAAATGTAATATTATTGCCTTGGTATCCCCACGACGAAAGAGACGATAATGCGTTCAGAAAAAAAAGGTCGACGTACTTTGACTACCCTTCGCGCTTTCGCTGGCGGTCTTGCGGCGTGCCGAGACATCGCCGCAGTAGTGGAAGTGGCGTTGGACAACTCAAGGGTTGTTTCCACCACGTGGTCGCCGCCGTCTACCCCGCGTCCGTCTTTTTTTCCTGCTGCCTGCCCATGCTGATGCTGGCGCGAAGGAGGGAAGAGCAAGGGTAGTAGCTCAATGGAGTTGTGGGACCTCGAAACAAGAAGAGGGGCGGGAGGAGGCGCGCGGATCGACGCCCTTCTGTTGTTGTTGTTGAGGTCGTTCTTGTTGTTGTCGGGCAAAGGTTGTTTCGATAGACTCCTCCTGGCGTCTGCGCTGTCTTCCCCACCTGTGTTGGCAGCGGGCATCATTCCGAGGAGAACTTTCTCGGTAGCCTTTGCTTGCCTACAGCACAAGAAACAGCATCGACAAGAACGGTCGGGTGGTTTAGTCGGGGATGGATGCATCGTGATTTTGCCCTAGCGGCGACGAGAACTTTTGCCAGACCAACAGCGCTGCCGCCCCTCCTCCAGGCCATTCACACCGCAAAAAATATTTTCGGACAGGAGGCATCGAGGCTGTACGCATTGGAGACGAACACAAGCAAAGGCAAGATCACTGGCAACACAAAATCTCGAACCATACCGCGGCCTAATTATCGTGGTTTGCTGTTGAAAAGCTGCAGTACTCCCTTTTCTTCTTCTTGCCTGAGCAGGCCTGCGGCTTCCGCAATGAGACCTTCTTGTTCTCTCCTGTTTGTCTTTAAACGAGCCATCGTGGCCAGCAACAGCGCTCGGCAGTACGGGTTTCGGCGGAATTCCGACGTGAGGCGTGCCTCAGTTTCCGGGCAGCTCTCGATCTAATGCCGATTGGTTGGGAACATGTCGAACGGGCAGGGATTCGGGGGAGATTGGACCCTCCCTTCAGTATCGTGGATAGACTATCCAAGGCAATGGGGTGCGCCACCCAACAACCGTTCCCAGAACTGCAAAATCACGGGCCGCCGACAATCTGCGCCACCCACATAACCCCCCCCGAGGAGGGTGTTCTGTTTTCGAAAGCGTTTTCCCTGTTTTTTCTGCACGCAATGTTGGCCTCACCACATTGGAGGAGATCGATTCAGATCCCACCCTTACCCGGGGTAAACTCACCCAGTTGTACTCGTCCCAACGTTCCATGCACTAGTCCCGCTTCCTCCCTTCTTCTTCCCTCATGTTCCATTCTAAAGCAGTGGTCGTCATCATCGGTATGATACTCAGTGCATGGGGGATAAAGGAGAACGTATACACAATCAGCAAACCGCCTAGACAGTAAACACATAAACCTGTTACCTCGTCGCCCTTCCATAGTCCCGGGCCGTCCTTCCCCTTCGTGGTGGCCGGCGCCGCCGGGGCGAGACAAATCTCGCCGCCCTGCTTGGCCCCCTCGAGAGCTGCGGCAGCCTTGGTGAGCAACGGGCCCGCTCCAGCCGCGCACACAATGGCGTTCGAGCCTGTCAATGCTTTCGTGACGCCCCCGGTACTACCGTCGCTTCCATTTCCCGGGCCTCCTACGCCTACAGGAAGCACGACCGACCAGCCTGCAGCCAGCGACCCTGCCCGGGTGTCCAGCCTCCCGTCCGAGTCGCCGAAAGTAACCTAATACACCAAAAAAATGTTGTGTTCGACTACTTTCATTACCCGGAGTTGACTCTAGGAAACACCATAGTTCGGTACGCGTCGAGCGATTTGGCGATGCAAAATGTTGGAGTTGGTGTCTTTGTATCACGTCCCTAGGAGACTGCATCAAGATCCGAGAATTGGCGACATCCAGACCAGGAGGAAACGTCTGGAATGCTCACGCGCGAGAGTTTTTCTTGGTACAGAACTCGGCTTCATGAGCGTGAACGTTTGGAGGTGTGCCGCGTTCGGGAGGCCACGCACGCGGCAACCTGGTGAATGGAGGAATGCTTACCTTGGAGGCCTTATTCGGAGGCCTTTTTCGTTTCGACGCGTTTCTACGCGCCGCAAGTCTGGCGGCTGCCTCGGCCTTCTGGTGCTTCGCCAGCTGGCAAGCGGTGTCTCGACCCATCAAAAGCTCGACTCGAAACAGAGTGCTTGTAATATCCTGTTGATTGGTCAGGGTTCCAATTTCCAAGCACAAGAAGCGAAAACCACGGTGTAGAGCGACATGCGTGGTACAGGGGTAAGCTGGAAGGCAGGGAAGGAGGGAGAATGGAGTGTGGGAAAAGCCGAGGCATGCATGACGTCGAATACATGCTGACGATGGCTCCCCTTGACAACAGCGAAAATGACAAAGCAGAAGCACACACCACCAACCACCACCACAAACGTACTGGTGCCGGCGAAACCACAGGGTGAGCACCTCCGATCGCGACAAGTATGGGATCAACGTCATTGAAACTGACATCAAGACCTTGTACCAAGCCAACGACTCTTCTTTGGTTCGCCTTCACTTAGCTTCGAACAGCCCCACCTCAACATCCATTGGAATATTGTGTCGCTGGCGCTTGCAGTTCGTGATATTCATTCCTGGGGCCGGGGCTACGTTGAAACACGCCTCTCGACCTAACAGCTCTACACCTCGCCAACGCTCTCTTCCTGTTTGACGAGATTGCCGATCATAACCGACAGCAACTATTCACATGTTTCACGACATTTTGCACTCCCTCGCAGCAAAAATTACACTGACCAGCTGTAGCGCTACCAGTTCCTGGAACCCCATGTCCGCCTCCACCTCCCAATCTCCTCGGGCATTACCGCCACCATCACCGCTGTTTCCACGTGTGGAATTGATCGACTCGGCCTCGTTGTGAAACGAAGCGGTCACGGAGGCCCTCGTTAGTGCGCTGCTTCTACGGCTGCTGATGCTTCTCGTGTTGCTGCTGCTGCGGGTGCCTGTGCTGCAGTTGCCGTGAGTATCGTCGGCGGTCGTCGCATGATGTAGATGATTGCAGATAACGCCCTTGCGGTGCTTATCGATACTCGCCAGGGCACTCCGTAGTGTCTGCGCGTATCCAGGCCAGCGTGTAAGGTCACACTGATGCGTCCTCACAGACGCGCAGCTTGATGTCTGCAGTACGAACACTATTGATACGCCCAGTAGAGATCAGCTGAGGGTCTGAGCAACCTCCACCATCTTGAAAGATAGACTTACTTCAAGTACAAGAGCAACGACGGCCGTTGGCACTCTCAAACAATCGCGCTGGGCGCAAACGCAGCCGACAATCGATGCACGGCAAGCCTTTCGTGAGTTCTCCCTCGAGGACAGAATGATGCAACACACACGTTTTCTGCCCTGTCGAACTACCAACATGCACGGGGGTATTCGCACTATGTGGGTGAGGGTGGCGGGAATATTTGCCCTTCACATTTGGCTACGCATCTAAGGTCCATTCCGACACGTTTCGCGTATCCCATGTGGGCGTGACAAAAAATCCTCAGCACTACTATCCCACTGATACACACACCTGACAGGCCTTTCGACGGTCCCCTCGGAAATCGGCCTGCAGGATCGCAAGACGAAGAGCGACAGTGGCCCGTAGGGACTCATCATCGGCGTTTAACGCCGACAGGCACGCGCATATCGTTTCTAGCGAGAGCAGAAGCGCATCCTGCGAGGGTTGATTGAGTGCGAGGGGTCAACAAGTGGTTGCCTTGAACTTGACGCCATTGACCGTGACTCTCCCGTTTCCCCACGGTCAGACATTCTCCTGCCCGGAATTTGCCGCAAGGAGACATCCGAAGCACCTACTACAATAGGTCACGTGTTGGTCCTGATGATTTGGCATACCTTCCAAACACTATCGTAGGGCTCCAGGGCTGCCCTACTCGTTGGGACAACCTTGTTTGCGAGCGTTCTGTGTTTGTTCTAACTCGGCACATATTGCACTTGACAACGGTGTAAAAGTTTTCCCTTGAAATTGCAACCACATACCCTGGCACCACCTCATGCTAAGGTACGTTAGATATTTTTTTTCTGAAGAGAGACGAGCCCCAACGACGCCAGCACCTATCGCACTTTGACCACGGTGTTCAACCTCCAAACGTTGCAGCTGTGCTCCAACTGCTTCCTACTAGGGAGCAACCCCTCACCAGGAGAGGCAAGTCGATCTCGGCTTCCCCCGGCAAGCCGTCCAGCCCCTCCAGGATGCTCGCCACGTAGGGCTCCCAAAGCAACATCGTTGCGTCAAGCAGAGCCTCTCCTCGACTCTCTAGGAGATGGCGGTAATGACCGAACAACGCCTGGCATTGCGACCCGCCGCCGATTTGGGCGCAGAAGGTTGTGAGCTAGGTTTGATAGCTACAGACTACAGCCTGGAGGCGGCCCGACGACACGAGTTGCCAGGGGTGCGGGCGTGACAAGCGAAGGGCAAGGGCCGTAATGTTGTCCAACATACAAACGTAGGGTTTAGGGGTTTCCAATAGCTTAGCAACTTTGATAGGCTGTGTATACGCGGATAGATTCAGAACTGTGCTGAAATGAGGGTATACAATTCAATACGGTGCCTTACTGACCGATCTACAGTAAGAAATGCACAGGCGCGGAGTGAGGAACGAGTAAATACCTGGCACGCTGGCGTGGAGAAACTATGACGCTACATATCGTAAAGATTGCGGCAGTGACCTCGCCGGTCGGGGACAAACGTGTTGATACGGCCACCACGGTGTGCCGTACGTTTTCCTAACCCTTGCAAACGTTTGATGGAATGCGGTAGAGGACAACATTGCTCTCGTTGTCACCTTGCGGAGGAGGTCCACCACCGTCAGCATCGGTGTGAGGTTGACTCTGACGCTTACAGTGCCATCTCTTCCCAGGGCAACTTCCACGACCTGTTGGGATGATAAAGTAAACGCGAAGCATGGCTCGGCCATGTACGACCACGTGTTCAAAAAGGTTCGAAACACTCGGTTGTGGAAAACACTGATGCCACTAGGCCGCGCACGTTATCAAGCACGCGTGTGAAACGACGCTGCATTGTGATGGGCTCAAGCAAGCACCGACACTTTCACGCGACACAAATGGTTCTTGTATTAACTGTTGCAAGCTTCTTGCCGGCGTGTGTTGAGCACACACGTCCGGAGCGTGATCATGGTCTCCAAACATACGACGGGTCCAGCTTTCAGCAACAGTATTAGGCTCGGCTCTTTGAAAAGGACGGGCACCCATGGCTTTGTGGAAGTGGCGGACACGCATATCGATATTCACACCTCGGCCGGTCGGGTTCCCTTCAGAGATTCTCGCAGCTCCTCCTCTGCACCCATGACCACCACCCCTTTTGATACCCCACGTCGTTTTTCTCCTTCAGCAGCTGCGGGTAAGACCAGAGAAGCGCAAGAACCTCCTCGTTCCTTTTCGCTGCAGTCTCCACTGTCGCCAGAATCCGATGAACGCTCGGTTGCCGTTTGGGTGGACGATATCGGGTTCGACGAGCCCTCTCTACTCGCCGGCGGTGTCCGTTTAAGGACTCCCTTCTCGGCTGGTTTCGATGGCTCCGGCTTGTCTCTCCACGTCTGCAGGCGCTTGCAGCTGGTCCAAAGAGCGATTTCGAACCTGCAATCGTGTACAAGTTGCGAAGTGCGGTACGAGGCACATGGCTGAGACAAATTGCTGCACTCCGAAAGCACCTGTCGAGTGCGGTGGCTAAATTGCAAGATACTGTAGACGAGTTGAATTGTTGTTGCTCTGGGCAAGTATTGCAACGCGTTGATACGGTCGGATGATAGGGTGACCTCCGAGAGTATTATTTCGACCAATTTTGCAGTTGTTGTCGCAGAGTGAAGGGTACGATATTCCGGAGAAGTTCTTCATTTACGATATCAAAGGCTGGTCAACGAACGGTCAATAAGACCGCGAGCGGGTGCTTCCGAGTCAAACCCACTAACACAAGCAATGTCCCGCAAGATGACTGCGTTCGAAGCTTCCCAGCAGTAGGCATAGGTTCAATCTACACAATATATTACATTGGCCGTGCATCGTGTGGTAGTATAAGCCCGACAAGCATCCCTTTGCCGTTGCCTTGCGGCGGATGATATTTTGCAGCCTAGCCTTCAACACGAAAAATCGCATTGCCATCATCCCTCACCAGAATGCCCGACACTCGTTCCGCCCGAGGGATCCCTTCGAGGCTTGTCGCAGGCGCCGCTTTGTCGACGGTAGCATCGCCTCCCACGCCTGGAACTCGCCAAGCTGATACATCTCTCGCATAAGCTGCATCTAGTGGTCGGGGCGATATAGCACCGGATACACAACACACCAACGGCGTAAAATAGCCGAAAGTTGCGGAGACGAGTCAACAGACAATGGAAGTAGATGCGACCGAGGAACGGAATCTAAGGTCCAAAAATGATTTGAGATAGTGCAGCCTTACACTTCTGAAAGATGCAAGACGTTCCCAATGTTGCACCTACGCGTGTCTGAAAAAACGTACGCTTAGGGACGCCGTATAACCAACTGCCTCTATCAGATTGCTCACCTCTTGGTCGATATAGAGCGGGAATGCCTCATCGATACCGTTGTCAATACTCTCCTCGCCCGTGAGCAGTTCATGCTTCTTGAGATCGACCTCCGCGTCATTCGTCACTTCCTCTTCACCCTCCCGCTCCTCGGGAGCAGGCAGCAGCAAGAGCGACACGGCCAGTTTACACGCCAAGGAGGACTCACTAGCGGTGAGCGTTCCAGCACTTCCATTGACAGAAGAAGTAGAGCGTCGGTCGCCGGAGCCGATGAGTTCCAGCAAGGCCGCTGGCCGTTTCGATACATCGGGGATCTTTGAGAACAGGGTGAGGGGTAGCGTGAGGGAAGGGAGGTATGTAAGTCGAGAGGCGTATCATCTCGCCCGCTGGTCTGCATCCGCCAGGACAAAAGGGCGTATAATTACACATCTTTCCAAGTTGCGTGCAAAGGAAAAAAACGACACGAGTCGTATGACAGAGGTGTCGTGAGTGAGCGGCACAAGAATTATGTTCGTTTATCGTCACATCCCCTTGGAGCGGACCACCTCCAGCTGGCCGAAAAGCGGAATGACGAAACTTTGACCCCGGGGCAAAGCGGTACTTCATGCTCCTGCAAGAAACAATACCACGCTCTGCCCCTCGATACAATCCTAGACATCGTTGTGCGAAAGAATCGCTTCCCGGGGAGAAGTCGAGCATTTTTGTCACTGATGCTATCGCTGGTTTTGTCAGTGTCCTCAAATCATGGTTGTTATTGATATGAGGGTCTTCCAAACCCCAAAGCGATATCTCAGGGAAGTAGGCCATGAGCATCAGCTGAGGCTATGTACTCTTGTCGATAACTTTATCTCCCCAATTCATTAATTTGGCGGTTTGTTACTTGCAGTTTCACCGTTCTGTCTGGGAGATGCAGATACATTGCCCCCACTCAATGCGCTCACGTGCTCGTCTAGCAGTCCGCGTAGGTCCTCCTCACATAGCCCTCCCTCCACGCTTTCGTCCCCGGTTCCGCCGGTGTTATCACCGCCTTCATTAGTTCCTCCAACTGTCGACGACGGTGGTCGTTTGGCAGCCGCGGTGGCCAGGGTGGTGTACTTGAACGTGAGTAGGGTCAGGTCACTCTCCGCGACATCGAGGGTTTCCGTCACATTGGGGGGGATAGGTGGGTCCATCTCCTCCTGACGACGAAGTTCCCTGACCTAAAAACCAGGTCGGTGGCGGTTGGGAGCAAGATAGGGAAGGATTCACTGGGGATCGAGTCAAAGTCAAGTGCATTTTGATCAGCAAACGTTGCACGCAAAGTACTGTGTTTTTTGCTCAGCATCACTTTTCTGGTTGTACACTGTCGCCCTGCCAAGAATTTTAACTTAGCCGAAATTGAATGAGGCCTAGGCCGACTCGCAGAACTGCCCGTATTTCGTGTTTAAGTCATACGTAATTGACCACTGTGCATTTGTAGTTTTTTTAACATGAACGTCTTGGACAAGATCTCTCTATTGGGATTCCGCACGCAGTAGTTGCTGGAACGCAGTAGCAGGGCCTTCGCCGGTGCGTGGATGTCTGCATTGCCTCTGTCCTCTCACAAAGCCTCAAGTCTCACCAAGGGCAGGCGTTACCGTTTTATGTCTCCCTGGATCTAAGATTGTGCAAGTAACGAGAGTTCAGCTGTACCTCAAGCACCAATTGCAACATAACACCAGTGCTGAAAATGACTCTAGGCACCAATGCACACGGTTCGAGTACCATGTTCACATCGAATCCCGGACTGAACATTGCCTGAGATTGCGTACCTTTTTTAATGCGTGGGCGGCGCACTTTGCCGCAGCTGCAGGTTTTCCAGAGTCTTCGAAGGCGTAGCATGTTGCCACCGCCAGCCGGGTCCGCCATGGGAGATGCTGCCCGTTTTCGCCCGTTAGGCGCAACAACCGCAGCAAACCCATGACGAAAACGAAACCATGAACAGGTTTACTTCTTCTGGTACATTGGACAACATTATTCAGCAGTGCAAGCAAAGGCTGGTACTGCCTGGGTCCCCACCATAGGACACGGCATTTTCGCGAGATTCTAGCTGTGTCCCAAACGAAAATTGCACCAAGGAGCAACATGCTGTATTCCGAAGATACCGAAATTCTTGCAGGGTGGCTGCATGACTCTATTAGGGGCACAGGAGCAACACCTACGAACATGTAAAAACGCGATGTTTACGGAAGCGAAGGTGTGTCGGGTGCTGATTCGGGGAGCGAACATACGGCCATCTGCTCAGCACTTCGCACCAACACCGCAACACAGCTGTCTGAGAACTGCATGCTTGCATCGAACAGCGAGCCATCCAGGTTATACCTTCACTGTGCTTAGGCTGACCATGGATTCCATCGCGAGTGTGCTCCACGCCAGAAACTCCACGACCTCATCACCGTGGCCCAAAGCGGACAACGGCTCGCACCAGTCGAACAGGATAACGCATCCTTCCAGCACCACCCACGACACAGCATCGTGCTCATCCTGAGCGAATAAGTTGGCGCGCACACAAGTGAATTTGTATCATGTGCCCGGGGCAGGTGGGTCGCAAGGGCTCTCCGCGCATTGCAGAATCCAGGTGAATGGGCGCCTGTAATACCTAGCTATTGCCCCGCCGTGGCGATGCCTACCTTAGGCCTGTTGAGCATCAACTGCATCGCGTTCTGAATTCTTCGCAAGTGAGTTGTGACTTTCGTGAGCGTTGCTGCAAACTGCACGTGGGGGTCCCTTGCCAACTCCACACCTGCGTGAAAGAGATTTGGGCAACCCGGAAGAACATATGAAGGCTTTCTGCCATGGTCATCGCTGATGGAATTTTCGGACGGAGTACATGCCTCTCATTGGGAAAAAAATATTGGTAGGTTCGATATTGCTCGACAAAAGTAGGCGGGATAGGGTACTCTTTGCAGAGCATTGACTACGGCTGCTTGTGTGAGAAGCACACCGCGGAAACCTCGCCTTGATCTTGGCGTTGTAACAACAAGTGCACGAAATGGATGCCCACGCATCTTGGATGCTTGCGCTTCGGCCCCGAAACGATTGGGCTCGCATCCTCCAGTCGCCACACAGTCGGCGTCACGAGACAACTTTCATTAGGAGGAGCCTTACGCTGATCTACCCAAGCTGCGATCGACCGGGGGAGCTCGTGCTTTGAGCCTCAGCTACTCACGCAGCTCCATGGACGCAGCGCCAAATTCCGCCCGTGCCATCCAGGACGCCTCGTCCTGAGCGAGGCATGTTGATCGCGTCTTGGGAGTGGCTCCTTCAGCGGCCGGAGGGGTCAAGGCGGTTCGCTCGCGCTTGATCCCTTCGCAACTGTCGGCTACGAAGGTGTAGAACCTCCGGGCACAGATAAACTCTCCCTGATGATACCGAGTTTTCGATCGACCAAGACACAACAAAAGGGGTGTAAAGTAAGGGTATGGAAGGCGATGCAAATGCCATGAGGAACGATGCAAACGGAAGAGACGGTGGGGCTACCCGCCTCTCAGATAAAATTGTGCGCAGCACACCAGAATAGCGTTGCACATACCGAAGGCGGCAGGTGTGGCACCACACACGCTCCTACCACAACACAGCCCAAGAACCCAACGTCACCTCCTGTGCAAGCGCATCGGCGCAGCTGACGCAAAGCCGAAGCGCGTCCTTCATCTCCAGCTTTATGGGCACCCAGTGCAGGAATGTTCGAACACTCTCCGCGAGTGGCCCGAGGTCGCACACTTCGCCGTCCACCACACCTTCCCACTCAGGATCGCGTACAACCTAGAAGGAGGGAGCGGAGGCCCGTAACAGTGGGCAGATGCGCGGGGTGGTTTGGTTGTTTTCCCTACTTGAGCTCTCTCAATCTCTGTCGATATCTCTTTCGCAGTGGATCCCTTGCGGGACATGTGCCACAAGCCACAAAGCCCTGGTCAGGTAAACTCGACCATCCAGGCCTTATACGCAGAAGGGTGAGGTGCTCTCTTGGCCCCAAAACTGTGTTTCTGATTGTTACTCTGAAAGCGGGGGTGAGAATAGGACGTCGAAGAGCCCCTCAATGGATGTCATAAAACGTCAACTTGTGTTGCCGTCGGGTGATTTGTGGTCGGGCTCGAAGAGTTCGAAGCGATCTCAGATGTGAGATGCCCACGTATATGTCATCAACTGTCCTCCCAGAAAAAAAAAACACGCATCCCTCTCAGAAATAGCACTGCCTTCGACTATTAATTGTGCAACCGCTTAACCATTACGTGACTGGGTAATTTTCTTTTTTGTTTTTTCCCCACAACTGGCTCTCTGCGGTCAAATATCTTCCAAGCATGCGTGTACACCCATAAATCACGGCGGCAAGGATGGTGCAGCCGTGGGTCCATGTGTGGGGCTCACAGGGATGGGGACGCGGTATCTGTAAGGGATACGAACAGGAGTACAGAAGTACTATGGCTGTACAGCAGTAGCAGCTATGCGGCGAGAAATAGACTGTACTTTCTGAGCAGGTGTGCATGCCTGTCTCCGACAGCAACCGTCCGCACAGAGGATGTACCTGTGCAAGCAATACCTGTTGGCACATCATCCACCTCATCCTTGGACAGAGTATACGGCAAGCGCATATGCTAACAGCGCTAGATGCGAAGACGCCGGCGGGAAACCGCCTCACAGCAGCGCCAGATCGAAGAAAAAAACGGCCCAACACTCATCAGAGAATCGAGACCATCATCCACTATCGCACAAAATGCTTAAAAATCGTGATGAGTTTGCTATTCTGTACTACAAAATAGAGAGCTGTGATCGGAGTTGTGATCGGAGCTGTGGGGAGGAAAACCCTTGCCTTTGGGCGAAATTTTGCACACAGCAGACGAACCACCCTTCACTCCCAATACTGGGAACCACACGCACCGCAATCACAGCAACATCAAGCACCGAGGCAGTACATTAGCATCGGCTCCGGTGTGCGCTTTCTCTGCTCTCCCCCGCGGATGCGGAACCGGGTTGATCACATGTTTAAGGGTGCTGTATGTACCCTCCGGTGGTATTTTGAGTTCGAATCTCACAGCAGTACCGGTAGGCAGTAGATTGGATCTGGAAAGGATATTCCCCCCCCGATAGAGAGATTAGGGATGGGTGAATAGTATTGTATTGTGTGAGTCCTGTGCGCATGGCTGATAAGCGTGCTTTGGGGTGGGCTGCCTGTGTCTCCCTGCTGGTCTCTTTCGTATGTCTTTTTCTCTTGGCCGAGGCACGACGGTGATCTTTCGGCACGCAAAGTCATCGGAGCTGAGAACGGAGCTGAATCGGCCTGTAGTCACGTAACGGTTAACCACCAGCGGCTCAGCCTAGGGCGCAATCAAACTGCATTACTACATAGGGAGGTGTCATAAGTATCCCTGTAAGCAGACAGATGTACATAGACTACAGGGTCTTGCTGTTCAGGTGCGTACTTCACGGTCTACATGTTAGCTGAAAACACCACGGCAAGTGATATGTTATGTACACCAGGTCTCCTTAGTTGGACATTTATTTTTCCAATTGTGTGTCCAGGCTGGTGGCGTAAGAGGCTAAACACTGCGATGATACCTGTTGCAATAGTGCGCCACACAAGATATCTTTATACCTCATGCACCTTGCTTTCGTATCTGGATATCCGCCCAACAGATAGCTAGGCCGACGTAAGGACCGGTACTTGTTTGGAAAGATTTCGATAGTAGATTCCCAATACCGACCTGTTGGACATTTGACTCTCTCATGCTGCAAATAATTTGAGTTTGCAGTACCGGACCAGCGGGTAATTACTGCAGGAAGACTGGTACGCGAGACAGTACTGCTGTAGAACAGCCTACTGTTGCTTTCCTACCATTGTACCATTGTAGAAGCTTGAACCTCTGTCGTCTGCTGCTGCGTGGGGATACCCACTCGTCGGAAAGGATAGCTAGAACGTCTTGATGGAGGAACGCGGTGCGGGAGGCTCGGGCTTCACTGTGCACAGGCTGACGGCGAAGCAACATGTTTTCTTGACTTGCGGATGTGAAGACTGTCAAGGGTCCATTCACGTGTAAAATAACCTTGCACGTGGACTACTCCCCAATCGCATCGATCAACACCGACGAATCTCTCACGGCGTACCCCTATTGTTCCTCTACAGAAGGTGCAACTCCTCACCCCCGGGGCAACGGGCTGGATCGCCAGTATCTCATCTCCTGCAACGCGCTTCTCGCGCACTGTTCGCAAGATCTTGGACTCGAAGTCCGACGAGAACGAAGCCAGCTGCTCCGACAACGCCATGTCGTGCCCTCGGGAGTCACCACCGCCAGCAACCTTAATCGTCCATGAATTTTTATTGTTTTCTTTCGTCACCTTGGCCAGAGAGGCTCACGGCGCGTCATCGCCAAGCAAGTGCTCAATGCTCTCCAGTAGCCAGATCTGCCAAAGGGGTGCCGGGGGGTGGCCGGGGGCGCCGTTACACATACACCTGAGCAAAAAGCACGGAGAACCATCTGAAAACCCCATATCTGATTGCGCCGCGTTTTCCTCCGGGTGCCAGATTTGCCAATGCCCACTAGCTAATGCCCACCACTCGCCTCCTCGCGCTAGGCTGGGAGAGGTACTCACAGCTCCAGCCAGAACTACCCGTGTTCAGGTATGTTCACCTTGGTATGGCATGAGCAAAGTAAACCACGATAAATTCCAGTTCAGAGAAAAGAGAAAAATAAGTCCAAAGGCTTTCGGTGGACAGGTGCAAGAAATTTGAAACTGAGACGAAACACAGCACCGGCAGAGTAATTATGTCTCGAACGCTTTCTGCTGTTCTTGTCGTGCCACACACACTGCCTCTGCCACACACCGCTTTGCGAAGTTTCAAACTGTTTGCAAAAGGAAAACGCCAACATCACCACTAGGCACACCACTGTCTCACGTGAAAAATGCGGCGGCGCCTTGATATCTCACCCCGCCCGAGTTGCATGATGGTTGCACTCTGCCTTACTGCTGCTGGTGTAGTCTCCAAATCGCACACCCTGTCTAGCGGCAATCGGTTGAACACGGCGGGGGCTGCTCCCCTCCTACCGTAGCTGTACCACCATTTTGGGAGTCTGAATTTTTGCAGCAGGGCAGAGTGCCATCGTTCTGTTGAGGCATTGAGTGTCATACCCCACAGCACCCCGTATGCCTTCAACGAACAGCGCAGGCTAGCAAGAACGACAGCACAATAACACTGTTGGGTGGCGGCGGCGATAAACAGGAGGACACGCGCGATCCCCATGGGGCCAGGACGGCATCCCTCCTTCGGCAATGGACACCGCCGCGGGATTGCACCCGAGTCCGAGGCGTTGTTGAGCGTTCTGAGGCCCTACTGCATGTCAGCTGTGATGGCGATGGAAGATCTGCTGGGTTCTGGGCGAAACCTGGTGCGTGTGGTGGTGTGTTGGGGCTAGCCTGTTTAGGGAGTTGATGGGCTCTAGGAATCGATTTAGGCTGTGTTTTTTTTATTTTGCAACACCGACGACGCTTTTCTTCTCGTTCTTGTGAGAGGTACGTTTCCTTGTACTGATACGGTGCAAGACGCCCTCAGTTGCTCTCACGTGGCCTTCATCCGGGGTATTTGTGACGAGAAGGGAGGGGAAGAGGCGGAGAGAGAGAGAGAGAGAGAGAGAGAGAGAGACTGACAGACAGACAGACAGACAGACAGACAGACAGACAGACAGACAGACAGACAGACAGAGAGGAGGATAACGAAGTAATTCTAGCGTTGTTACTGTGTCCATATTCCGCTCACATCTTGTATTGGGTGGCCCGATTGTGGCCAACGGGTTGAGCGTCCTCGCCATCCCGGCCTTTCTAAGCTCAAGTCTCCCTTGTGGACAACGAGGCGGCTTTAACCTGGATTATCCCTTCCTGTCTACCGGCTCCCACCTCCGCTGTTTCCTCCAGGCTTCGGCTGCAGCGGGTGCTGCTAACGGTCCACAACGCTCCTCTTCGGTTCTCTCTTCCGATGCCGCTGCCGCTCACGTCGCGACTGGGCGGCGACTCGAGGCCTCCCTCGCCTCGCTCCACTCCGCCCTCGCCGCGGTCATGCCCTCCCCGTCTATCAGCCCGCCATCCCCCTCTTCTGTCCCTTCTGAGGTTGTTCGGCGTGCCTTCCCCGCGGCATTGCCGTTCGTCATGCTTCCGCTCGAGCTGGCACTTGCACCTCCGGACAGGGGCAATGCTGGCGGAAGTAAGACAAGCGGGCCTGGGTGGAGGCATAGCCCAGAGGTGCCGGTCGGTGCAAGGGAGAAGGCATTCCTGTGCGTGACGGAAGCTGTTCGAGCGAGTGGATCGCGGTTTGTGGAGGTGTGTTCAAGGAGGAAATGCTTTGTAAAGCGAGGCTGCCGCGGGGTTTGGCTGCCGTGTTGATGTGGCAACATGCTGCTATGTCCTTCTGTGTGTTCTTGGTTGGTGGGAGCTTGGCCGTCCAAGCAAAATCTAATCTTGGTATCGAAGTCTTCAGAACAGATTCCACGGTGGTTTCAACATTAGTCACGACAACCCCCGACCTCTCCAGTTCCCTGCGCCCCCAGGGCTATTGCAATCCCCCCCTAGGCGTGTTCAATGTCTGCACAGTCGTCGAAACGCTGTTTGTCAGGCGATTTTGTATCACGAGCTGCTGAGGCTGCTTTCAGCACCGGCACCTCGCATCATTGTGAGTATGCTGCCCCCTTCCATGGATTTGCACAGGGCTACGGCGTGAAGCCAACGATCCACGTGATGATTCGCCTGGTGTTCACCCTCTCGGAGTGCTCGCCGGCGAACGGCGGGGTTCTGGCAGGGAGCTCCAGTGGGAGCGCCGTGCCTGGTGCTGTCTGCAACGGAACCGGTGGGGTTCGGGGGAGCGGGCTAACTGCGGGGACCGATGCGCTGCGGCTCTCCTGCCTCAAGTGTCTAGAGGTGAGGGTTGAGGGGTTGTTGTGGTGTTGGAGGGCGGTGAGCCCACCACCATGTTACAGTAGCGTTCTCTCGTCCCATCAAGGCTGCAGTTTCCCGTTCGCCCTGTTGCGAGTAGCCATTGGCGGTGGTAGCAAGTGGGTTCGGCCTTTCCTTTTTCCGAGCACGGCAGCGACTGAAGAAGCGTTCGCCCTCCTAAGTTGAGTGTCGGGGTACACTGCCAATGGCTAATCGACTCAGGTTTGAACAATGATTTATTGCCAAGGTAGCAATTTTCTAGCCATAGCATTTCGAGCCTTTTGGGTCAAGGAAAAACAAAGTGGGATTCAATTAGGTCGAGTCGTTTGTGGGAGCCTCATCGCATTCCACAGCAAGCACATGGGCTACCAGATCGGTCAGCCACATGCGCTCGACCGTTGCCGGTTCTTCAGCACTATCTACCAGGAAGATCTTCTTCGGAAACCTTTTTGAGCAATCCCGTGGCCGTGACTTTCAGCCGAGGGTTGGAGACTTTTGGGAGCGATCCCTTTTCAAACACGTTTCTAACGGCAGTTGGCCCTGGTGCGCTTGGCTGACTAAATCCAACTTGGCCGTGGGCAGCGATGGTGGCAAAACATGTACCAGTAGCATACAAATGGTGAGCGAATGTTGCTCCTCTCGAACCACCCTCGGCTTCCTCTTCTGCGACGCCGTTGCCGCTGCCCCCTCCCCCTGTTTTCACGAGCCTGCTCTACACCCTGGTTTGTTTCGCCTGGTCTTAATTCCCCAAACCTTGTTCCTCGCGGTTGCACAGGCTGTCTTGCGAGCTCCTTTCGCCTGTGAGTGGCATCATAGCAGCAGCAGCAGCAGCAGCAGCAGCAGTAGCAATGACTCGCGATGGTCCGAAGTGCGGAACGACCTGAAGGACGCCATGGGCGGCGGAATCCTCGCACAGCTCGTGCAAGAGCTCTTGCTGTGCTGTCAGCAAGGCGAGGAATCTTCTCCTCCCGCTGCCAATGGGGCTGGTGCCAGCAGGAGGGCTGTGGCGGCATCGCCGGGTAGCGGGGGAGGTGGGAGATCTAGGGTATGGGGGGGGGCGGAAGAGGCCCGCGCGGCGGCAGGATGCCTGGAGGCTCTTTGCTCCTTTACGCCCGGCTCTTCCGTTTGGAGGCGGCTGCTTCCCGGGACCTTCAGCGGCCTTTTTCGAACGATCAGAGGTATCGATTCAGGGCGGGATGTTGCTGGTGGCATGGTGCTGCCGTCGTCAGTGGCTCAACGGGGAGGGGATGGTCGACGGCGTGGCAGCGGCAGCAAGTCGGCTCTGGCAGAGGTGTGCCTAGGAACTCTTGCCAAAGTTCTCCTGATGTGTGCGGGCGGAGACGCGGCTGCTGTGGCCGCCGCCACCAGGGCGGCCACCGCGGGTACTTGTGCCGCACGCGATCCCGCCCGCGTGGTCAAGGCAGGCGAGGGCATAGACGCAGCTGTTCAGGGTGGAACAGGCGGAGAACCAGAGACCAGCAACAGTACAAGCAGCAACCCGCTACTTGCTCTCCAGCGGTTAGCTGTCACTTCGAATGCATCTGCCCGGAATCCCGGAAACCTAGCCCAACCCGCCGGTACCGCAAGCGCTGCCGCTTCTCCCGAAGGCCACCACAGAAGCGACAACCTCAGTCCAACCCCCCCGTGCCAGCCCGGAGCGTTTGCTGCTGCTGCGACGTCTACGACGACTTCGAGCGCCGCGGCCGCCTCCGCGGCTGCGGCTTCGGCGACGGTGATTGCCGTCGAAAACCCGGAGTGGGAGGCTCGCACGAGCGACCGCCTCCGTCTTTTGCTGCCCCCCCTGCTTGCCTTTTGCTGCCTGCACCCCGGGTGGCGTGTGCGGCGCGCCACGGCCAAGCTGGCCTCCGATCTGTTGCGAGCCGGCGGGGACGGCAACGAAGCGGCGAGCGGGGGTGAGGCGGGAAGAGGGAGCGGCGAAGGGAAGATGGGACTACTGGAGCCGTTGACGCCGCTGCTGATGGAGGCCTTGGTGGGGCTTCTTCTGGACAGCATGCCGCAGGTCGGTGCTTTCCGCCATCCGGGTCGAATTGGGCTAGGTGCTTTGATCGTCTTGCTTTTGCCACATCCACCACGTAAGGGTTTGACTCTTTTTTTTTGTGTGTGTCTTTTGTGTTTTCGGTTGGTTGCGTTCTACGCGCGACGTATCCGTGGGTGTGCTTGTCCATTTCTAGCGCAGTACCTGCTTGATATCTCTCGCCCTCTCGCCCATGCCCATCTACTGTACAATGTCTTCGGTCTTTTGCCTCCTTCTCGCCTGATTTTCGTTCTGGTTCCCATGCCCCTGCTCCCGTTCATATCGAACGTCCACTGCTATAGCTAACGTTGTGCCGCACGCTTTTGTTATTGCCCCAGGTGTCAGCGGAGGCCCGTCGGGGCCTAGACAGCTTCCGCGCAACCCTATCTCCCTTCCGGTGGCTGGAGCTAAGGGGTATCCTCCTAGAGCGCCTGAGCACAATTGTGGAAGGGCTGCCGGCGATGGCCAAGTCGGCAGACGAAAAGTAAGCTTTGCGATGAACTGGCAGGAGGGAAGTTCTTTGTCCAAAGCCTTGCGTATTTATCACCTACGTGTCGTTGAACTTTTCTTAACTCCATTCTTCTTATCTTGAGGCGTATCGCCAAAGGTAGAGACATTTATTTTGAACAAGTGCGTTGTGAACACACACCTCCCTAAAGCGCCAACCTGTCTGTCTGTCTGTGTGTCTGTGTGTCTGTGTGTCTGTCTGTCTGTATGTCTGTCTGTCTGTCTGTCTGTATGTATGTCTGTCTGTCTGTCTGTCTGTCTGTCTGTCTCTCTCTCTCTCTCTCTCTCTCTCTCTCTCCTGGCAGACGGCTTCGCGGTGCGTTTGACCTTCTAGCTGGGTATCTGTCGCTGTTGCGGTTCGATGCTCGTACCGCCTTGGACGGTCGGTTGTCTTTGGTGTTGTCTTGCCTCTGCGAGACCCTGGAGTTTGACGAGGACTTCAACGTCCAGGTTAGGACTGCTCTGGTATCGTCGTCCCTTTGGTAGTGGTAGGGCAGGAGGTGCTGTAGGTTCAGTGTTTGTTCCATTTTCTGCGACATACATTGAATTTTCGCGATGCTGTAGAAGTCTGTCTCACCGGACACTTGCCGCTCGGAGGATAGCCGGCTTGTCTCTTGTTTCCATGTGCGTAATTTGGCAGAGCACTACAGACAATCGCATCGTTCTTTTCCAAAATTGCCCGCACTCAGGTAACATGACCCGAAAATAATTTAAACAATTGGTTGGATGGGGTCTGACGTTGTCCGCTTTGGCATTTCTCTTCGTGAATTTTGGACACCACGACAAGTTTCTTCAATTGTTGTATGTGAGGTTGTAGTTTTCTCGTCAATGCGTCGATAAACTCTTGAAATATTCCTGGTCGGTTTCTCTCGATTGAATATAGCGTACGTCGTTGGTCGCGACACGCCCCGTCCCAAGGTCCTGGAAGGCTCATCCGCCAGCAGCAGTGGCAACCTCAGCAGCGAGAAAATAAGTCCGAGTGACAGGGCACAAAGCGGTAGGCTGGAGGCGTGTCGCCCGAACCGCCCTAAGTACTACAGACAGGTGTGTGCCGCAGCAGGGAGGTCGAACGGCTGTGCGGTGGAGTACACACCACGATTGAGCGGGGGCAGGCCATCCGATCATGTTGTGCACTATTGTACCGCGTGGGTGTTTGTTTTCAATGTTTTCGTCCGCCGATTCCGGCGCGCTAGTCAACAGCTTTCGGAAAGTATTTTTGATGCACCAGCCGGGTTCACAGAGAAGGAAGGTGACCAAGGGAGTTTTGCTTCTTGATGTTGCCTCTTGTACTGCTTGCCTCACAATTCAGCTCGAGCATACTTCAGCTGTCCCTCAGTGGTTTTTGTGCACGTGTAGATCGATTGCGTCTTGTTCACTCCGGAGAGTTTCGCTCAGGCCTCTAGAGAGCAAGTCTTTCTCTTTGGGTTATGGGGGCGACAAAGCGTGATATGCGGTGAATAGGCCTTGATGTTGCAGACGCTCCCCTTTCGCGTTTTAGTTTACCACCCCGGTTGTCCATGTCGCGAACGCCCCCAACCGGGCCCCAGTTGTTCTCTACAGTCACGTTTACTATTTGGCTGGTAATATCACTCATTACAACACGCCACTTGATTTTTTTTTTTTTTCCACCGAGACATCACTTTACTTTACGTTGCTGGACATACACAATCTATCGGCTCCCTCACTTTTCAGGTTTTCGCGAACGTCCGGGAGGACTCCACGCTGTCCTCGGCGAGGCGCGCCGTCCGTCTCCTGGGGAAGTTCTGCGACCTCCCCTCCCTCGCGGACGCCTCCATATCATCGCTGGAAACCCGTCCTCCGCGCCCTCCTCCCCCTCCGTCCGGCCGGCGGCGGCACCGACCGTCTCCGGTTCCGTCGCCGGCGCCGGCGGCAACACCGGAGATTGCCGTCGCCATCGGCCCTTGGTCGGACCGTTCTTCTGCTTTTCGCGAGGACGGCGGCATCAGCAGCAGCAACGACACCATCTACCGACGGCGGTGCCTCAAGTGGCTCCGGCTCCGACTGCCTTTGGCGTGGGTGCTGAACCAGGCGCTCCTGGGTCGTGGTTCCGGTTCGGCGGCGGGAGAAGGGGCCGCCAAAGACGGTGGCGGGGAAGCGGCGGAGGCGGGGAAATCGAACGTTACGGGGGAGGATGAGGGAATCTTTCTGCGGCGCGGTCTTGCGATATCCATGGTGAGGCTCTGAGTGGGGGTTTGGGGAGGTGATTATTTCTTCCGAACTATGTGGTCTGTTGTTCGGTGTTGAGGTCTTCGTCGTAAGTGCACATCACTGCAATTAGGCATTCAGCCTGGACGGCGTTTTTTTCACCAGATGTAATGTTTTACTACCGCCGATCGCGCCCGTGAACCTGGTCCGACGCCTTGTGCCTCATACCACCACTATCATTTGCAACCCTTCTGACCCTGGGAAACCCTACCCTACCCGAATCTCTTATGCTATTTATCGATTCAGCTGGAGCGTCTCCTAGCTTCTCACGCCTTCAACGTGCCGGTGTCGAGGGCCGAAGCAGCCGCCGCTGGCTACAGCGGGAGCTACGGGAATGATAGTGCCGCCGATTTCGAGAGAGAGTCGCTGCTGACTAGCGGGGCTGCGGGTGAGGGAGAAAATGGCGGCGTTGCAGCGCTGTCGCGGCGTCCCGTCGAATACACGCGGTCAGGGCAGGTGCTTGGCGCCGGCGGCGACGGTGGCACCCGCTCTCCATCTCGCGGGGTTTCCGGCCAGGTAATGTACACGCAAACGACGTTTGTGATTGTAGGTTGGTTTCCTTCCCCAGCTGGGCGCTGCTCGAGCAGTTCCTGCCGACCCACACGAAGTGCTCGTGTTGTTTTCGATTGGGCGACCCTCATGCAGTCCTCCACGGTGTTCTGTTTGGATCCCGCCTTGTTCACTGTTTGTTCTGTGTACCAGGTTGGTGTTCATGGCGTGGGCACCTCGCGATTTTGAACGAACGCAACGCACCTGCCTCAGCGCTTGCCGTCCTCTGGTCCATGTTTTCATTGCGCACACAGCCAGTCATTTCTGTGGGGTGCTTTCAGCCAACTCGTGGCCTTCTGTCAGCACGATTTATGTTTGTGTTCCTTTCTTCGATGATAACCTTGGTGAACCTGCGATTGTATCTTGGTAGTCACGCGTGCTCAGGTCTCCACACGAGAGCGCGAACAACCCCTCCGTCTTCTCCTTTCGAATATTTCCCTGTGCGCTTGCGTTGGTTGTCGGCCTCACCGCGACTGAACCAAGGTTCTCGACGCGAACGCGACCCTTGTTTCCACTATTGTGGAGGCATTGGGTTCTCTAGCGGAGGCGTCTGGCCCAGGGTGCGGGGAGGCATTTCTTCGAAGAGCTCTATATCCCTTGCTGGAGAAGGTCTGTGTTTTTTTGCAGTTTTTTTCGACGTACACCAGTCTTTTTATTTTCCTGCCATCATATTACCCTCGCTGAACACATCGCTTGAAATCTCGATCTCGAGTTCGTGTTTTTCATAGTGAAACTCAGTTCGATGTGGTGATCTGCTTCACTCTTGTATACCATGGTATTGTTTTCACTCCTATTTTTTATATTTGATCACAATGCCGGTTTTGACTCACTCTCTGTCGTACTTCGGAACTTGTCCTTCACGAGGATTTGGTATTCACTCGTGTTCATTTCCGTTAGTCGACGTTGTCGTAGCTGCTGTGCCACACGCTCGGTACACGGAACCCTTTTCGTCACCCGTTGACTCTGTTTTCAACGGCGTGTCCGTGTCTGTTTGACTAATGCCTTAAGTTCAAGCTCCTCTTTGCCCTTTCGCTGCGGTTCACTCGTACTTGGGGTTCACAACGTCTCCATCCATTGTCTTTCGTTTCGGCTCCTGCGCCACTGTGGGTTTGTCCCTACTTCACGTTGTGGGTCGAGAACTTGTCAACTTCGGTTTGGGTTTGGTTTCGACTCAGCTTATTTTGTGTCTCACGTTCATCTGGGTCTCCATTTCTGTTTCGCTTTCTTTCCTTTCCATTTCCACGTTTCACCAGCGCGTCCCGTGTTTCTCTCGTGTTTTGTTTTGTTTCACCGAGTTTTGCTTATCTTCGATTTCACGCATGTGTCTCTCCCTTTGTCAGCTTTGCTTTTTTCGGCGATTTCTTCGGTATTTCACTCTTCTGATTCAATGAACCTTGCCTACACGTTGCGATGCTGAGAAATTTCTATTCCTCCTCAGCACGCTATCGTCTCTTTGTTGCTGTTCTTTTCCTTCGAAAATTCTCTTGTTAACGATTTCATTGTGGGCAGGCGGCGTCGACCCACCCCGTAGTATCGCAATCCGCGTTAGCAACCTTGGCAAGGGTGCGGGTGGCGTGTGGAGACTTTGAGGACACATCGCAGCTGCTCGAGGGTACGTTTCGCAGTTAAACCACGTGAGATTGTTGTGTGTCCAACCGACCCTTGTCGCACTTGCTTCTGCACCTCTGACGGGTTCTGACCGATGGTTAACCCTTGGCTGCTGCCCAGTTTCTTACGTAGAAGTATTTGTGTCTGCTTCTCTCCGGGCGGTGCGTTGAGGCGCCCGTTCGTTGTCGGTGTGTACGTCTTATATTGTTAATTGGTATCGATCTTTCTGGTACCGCAGTCAGTTCGTGCCATTTTGCTGACCATTTTATTTCTTGGAGATTTTTGTGCCCCAAGGTGCTATTGTGCTGCTTGTCATGGCCGACATCGTGGCGTTGATGGGTTCCATGTTTCGTGTATGGTGCACTTCTTCTTTTTCGTGGTTGAGGAAGTCTTTAGTCTCGACACCGTTCCACGCTTTAGGACCATATCTTGCTCTCGCCGGAAACGTCTCGGCGGTGCTGTCATTTCCGGGATCAAAATACAGCGGTACTCCCACGTCGATCGCCACGGACAACATCAGGCTGGTCCTTGTGCACCACATCGAACAATACCGCTGCACCCCCAACGATTCTATTGTTTCGCATGTTTTGTCCGCTCCCCATGGCGAACCCGCTCCCAGCAAACATGGACTACGTGGTAGATGACGTGGTTCGAAGAGTGTCTTCCTCATCCCGGAGAAGCCGCAACGTGGACGTTGGCAGTACCATGATAACCCACGGAGGACGCGGTGGAACCAGTGCCGGATCGGGTATTCCCGGTGTGGTGGAGGCCGTACTGAGGATTGGAGGCTCTGCGATGGGACCCGCCCTGGTGCGTGTGGCCACATTTCTACTCCTGTATCGCATGCACGTGTTATGTGAGGGCGAAGCTCTTTATGACTCTGCTCTATGTCCTCTGTCCGCGTTGGTATGGCAACCTTGGAATGCTGGTGTGGAAGCGTTGGTGATGAACTGTGGAACATGAAAGAGTCAGGCCAGTCACCACTGTCTCGCGATAAACATGTGCATGTATGAACACAGCGAAGACGTTCCGACATTAGAATTGCCTGCATCATTTGCACCCCTACCTTCGTACATTTCCGTACTGATGATCTTGTCTTGGAACGCCCAGGTGAGGGACCTGGCAGGTGTTACCCTTCGGGAGGTTGACGCGTGCGCCTGGGACCCCCGGCAGACTCGCTGTAGTCTCGGGGTCCTTCGCGCGGTTGCCTCGTGCGTGACGCTGCCCCCTCTGCCCGCCCCCGGTGAGCCATCGTCATAGTCGTCGCCATCGACATTGTTCTCCGAGTCTCGGTGTCAATTCGCACTCCAGCGTGTGCCCTGGCGAGGGGCTTTTTTTTTTGCAGAAGGTCATGGTGTCCCGAATCGAAAACGTTCCGCGATGTCATCCGGCTTGAGAACACGGGAATGTTTCCTCCAATCTTGTCCCTTATGGAACCTTCCCAGGTGAATGGTATTCCGGTTGGAGAGTAGGGTCGGGCGAAATGTAACGTTACTACTTGTTGTCCGTCGAGGTGCGTGATAGATCGAGTACGGGCGATCTTCCTGCCAATCACGTTGTCATGGTTGTGCCGTCGTAGCCCACAACGGTGTTCGCGGTTCCAATCTCGAAAGGGACGCCACATGAATCAATGGATGAACAGGTTCAACCGTCAATCTACAGGAGGATGACGATCGAACAATTTCCTTCCTCAACCAATTTTATCCCTGTGTCGGTTGTGACAAATCTCGTTCCATCTACACGCCGGCAACAGAAAATTCGGAGAAGTCTCCCGCCTCAGGGGTGGACGAGAAAGACACGGACGGCAAGGAGGAGGGGGATTCACAAGGGGCAACGGAACGCAACGGAAACTCTGCACTAGTGGAGAGCCCGTGGTTCAGGCAAGTTTTTATTCCTGGCGGGACGGGGATACTTAGGTCGGGTGGGCGACAAGGTGTATTCACGGCCGCGCGCGTTATGTTCGTAGACCCTGGTATTGCGGTCGAAGAACGTACTAGTTGTTGGTTGGCGTTAGCCATTCACCAGCATGGGCAACGAGCAACATGTTTTCCTTCATTTCATCAGGAAGAGGGGCGATTGGTTAGGGGACGTGCGGTGCGAATGGGTTGTTCTTGTTGTGAAATCGCTCAAGGAGCGAATCGCGGTACTAGATCCATCTCACGACATTGCAGCCCCAAGCAAAACGTTGTTGACGACGCAAACATGCCCAACAGGCAAGCACCTCGGACATTGTAGTCCTAAGGAAATCGTTTCTGACGCCGCAAACATGCCCAATAGGCAGCTATTCGTGGAGTTCGCGGACGCTTCGGACATCCTTCGTGCGGAAGAGAATTCCTCGGGTGCCGGAGACAGGGCACAGTCGGCTACAAGCGGTCTAGTGAAGGCGGTGAAAGAGCATCGCGAGGTGCGTAAGTACGATGTTGTACTTGATGGACGTGCGGCGAGAGCACGCAGGTTGATGCGTTGTGTCCGACGGCTGAACAACATTCGTTGTGCGAAAAGAGACGCTCTCAGTTTTTTTTTTATTTCACAGCTGCTTGCCGTTCAGCCTTCTTGACCGCGAAGATCGGGATGTTTCTGACCTACCTGGGCCGCCCCTCTGGTCATGTGCTTTCTCGAGGGCGGTTCATTGAATGTCCATGAGGTGTGTGTGTGAACACAGCGTTGGCCAGGTCAAACTTGGATGCTTGACCTCTCAGGGCGCTTCTACTTGAGACCCTTCGACGATTGATGTCGAAATTTTCAGACAAAAGAGTGAATTCGTGACACTCTGCGGCCTCCGTAGTTTAGGGCTACTTTCCAAGCCTGTTTTGTTGGAAGTTGAGCACCATCAAACGTGCTGCCGTCAATTCACTACCTGAAACGGTGCGAAAATACGCTTTCGAAGAGCGAAGCGGCCAAACAACTGAGACCGTGGGATATTGTATTGTGGGTCAAACGTCGCACGATGTACAATCTGGCAATCGCCATTCAATGACCTCGAACTCGCGGTTTCCAAATGAATTTCACCCACATTCGATTCCGCCATCCAGCAGGGCCCAAATGAAAAAAAAAATCTGACTCGGTCCATGTTGATACCTATCCCGACTTGACGGGCCACCGGCGGTTTTCCGTAAACGTGAGCTATCGGAGTTCCATCCTTGAGAAATCCGAAGGGAGTGGATGACACGCACAATTGTATTTAATTGAACGAACCAAAGAAATATTTGTTGCTCCCACCCCCTCCCGCCTCGCCTTGCCTTCACTGCTAGAGGCTGAAAATGAACCGCGGATCGTATTCGAGTTGAAACGTCGACAGTACAACGCAAAACGTTAACCCCTGCGTGAAAGTTGAGCAAACGAGCGTTGTCCCAGAGAACACGGGCGACGAGCGTGTCCGGTGTTCGTGTAGACGCACGAAGCAAGCCAGCCGCATCAGAGTTGCAGTTAACCCCAAATTCCCTTTCTCCAATGTTTACTTCCGAAGGCTATGGGCTACGATGTCCCCGACGACGACTCCGAAGAAGGTAGAGTAGAAAGTGACACGGCGAACCCTGAATACGAAAAGACCAAAGCGAAGTGGCGAGAGATAGAGGAGGAGGCGCGAAAGGCGGCGGGACAGGCAGAGGAGGAGTCAGAGGGACAGCAAGAGTTGCCGGAGCCGGACGCGGAGGGCAGAAAGATGGCAGAGTCCGAGGAGGTTCGCTCGATTTCCTCGTTTTCGGCGTTGCATTGGTGCCTGTTGTACTTCCTTCGAAAAATGATACGATGCCTGTGTTCACGATGGCATGGTCTACCACAAGTTCACTGGAGATGGTGGGGGCTAGTTCTGGTGCAGAAGAAGGACGAACAGGACTGATTGTGCAAACCGCTGGATAGATGATGATTCTTTTATGACTCGTCGACAGTGTTCCTGTGAGAAATTCCGCCGCTAGATTCTACGCCATGACCTCCAACCTGTGGATGTACTTACTGGTGAACGATCAGATCACACACTCTATTTTCAACACTCGTGCGTTAACATGTTATTATTAGGTAGCCTCTGTTGGTCATGGCGGGACCTCGTGTTTTTTGTTACCCAGCCGAAATTCTCTGCTGTTTTCAGGTCAAAACGCTGTCCGAGGTGCTGGCACGCAGCTGCCACTTTCTCGCCACCCCTTCGCTGGAGACGCAAGCCCTGGCCCTCGCCTGCATGCGCGACTGCGTGTTGAAGCTAGCATCCGCCGGCGCCGACGCTGGTGCGATTTGCACTCCTTGTTCACGTCATGCACCGTCGGTTGTATTCCTCTTGATGTTGCGAACGCTTTTTGTGGCCGTTCTGTCGTGTATCGGAGGTGTCTGATGTGGTCCTTTGGCCGACCGGGTTCTGCTCGCTCCAACGATCGATGTTTGTAGGGCTGCGGCGAGTGTGAATGTGATAGCTCCCTTGGAGGCACGTGGCGAGCGCCTGGATTGGTTATGCCTTGTTGGACACTTTGTGGAATACCGGTTTGCCCCCCCGCTCTTCTACCGCATGGATCCAATCGATTGGTGCTGCTCGTGGTTTTGTACCAAAACCAAGTGGATAGTATTTTTGCCAACTTCATTTTTGCCGTGGGCAATGTTGCACGCTCCTAGGGATGCAGTTGATCGCAATTATCCGGTTCCCGCCAAGCAGCAAGTTCTTCCACCGCGCTCGTGCCCCCCCTTATTTCGCTTTTTTTGGTGCTGAATTTCTCCATCGGTGCGGTTAGCTCTCTTGCCGCACGTGCACCGGGCATGGCGACCGCTGATGGCGAGTCTGAGGGAGCACCTGACTCCCCTCCCTTCTTCCGTCGGGTCTGGAGGTGGGCTCAGGCAGCAGCAAACTGGATGCCAACAGCGAAAACAAGCAACAGCTTAGAACTGCTGTAGCAACATATGAGAGGTGTTGTTGGATGATAGCCTCATGCCACCACCACGTCCGCCGTGTGTGACGACGGTTGCATGCTGTGGTGGCGATTTTTTTTGCTCTCTTCTATTTCAACCCATGCCCTTTGGTCGTGTTGTTGAGGGGCCGGCTAGTCTATGGCACGTTCTTCGAATCGTTTTGGGTACATCGTAGATTCAAGTGTTCAGTTCGGAAATGTTGCACCACCCATTTCATGCATACCAGCCAGTTTCAACGTTCAGACTATACCGGGGGTCGAGACAGATATTTAGGGTCATTATTTCATGGGGACCTCTGTCACTTGTTGATTGTTTTGCGGCGTCCTTCGAAAGTTGCACGCGTTTTGGTGCATCTTAATAGCTTCTGCTTGTTTCTCGAGTTGCGGGGGGATAAACTCTGGGTTTGTTCTGGTGGTTGATGCTTGTGTTGCAGGTGACCACGGCGACGGCCACTTTGAGGCGTCTCCACTGTCCTCCAGGAGGGCCGTCGTGCTCCACTCGCTCGACACCGTCGACGCTTTGGTAGACGTCTGCGGCGATTTCCTTTCGTCTAAGGTATCCGAGGACTTGTGGCCGCTTCTGAAGGTAAGAAAATTCCTGCCCCGTGGGATACCTTGCCGTCGTGGGAAATGTCGCGGATAGTAACTGGTGAGCAGTGGAGGTATCAATGGGGGCTGGGGTGGTGCACTTTTTGATGGTCTCCGTTGGCGCTGTGGCGTCGCCATTGGCCCAGTTGCATGCTTGTGGGATCTGATCAGAACTGCCACGTGGGAGAATTCATCGTCGTTACGATACAACGGGCTGTTGCGGCCTTCATGTGCATGCAAGACCATACGTGGCTTCGTCACCAGACCGTCTCCGTTCGTCATGTTTCGTTTCGCAGCTTCTCTTGCTGCAGTATGCAGCTTTCAAGACACCCGGAGGAGCCAACAGCAGCAGCGCCACCACCACCATCACCACCACCAAACGGAAGCAGCAACGCTCGACGTTGTTTACATCGTCTTCGCCGCCATCGCAGTCGATTTCTGCGCCGGGGGAGCTGTTCCTCGTCGGCAGCAAAACTAGCGGTCGCACGAACGATACGGGGAACGGCATACATGTCGACGGTGACGGAAGCGGCCTCAATAGCCTTCTTGCTGTTCCGCCTGGCGGGCCTGTGGGAGGCGTTCATGGTGGGGGCGGAACCAATGGTCCCATGACGGGATCAGTGGCGAGCAGTGGGAAGGGTGGTCGTAGAGGAAGGGATACCATGGGTGAGAAGGTGGTGGCCCGGACCCTCGAGAGCCTGGAACGCCTATGCAGCAGCCAGCAGTGCGAGCGGTTCATGACGCCGCTAGCCCGAGAGGTGAGATTCGTCGCGGATAACAATCTCTGATCTCTTCCCCCTTGCACGAAAGTCACAGAGCTCAAGGCTCAGGCACGAAGCCTTTGGTTGTGCGCTAGCCGGACTGCGTCTATGAAGCGCAGCTGCAGCTGGACGCAACGTAGTATTCCTAGCGGAACTCGGTGAGAGTTTTTTCTATGTGAGACTTCTTAGAAACTGAGGTGTTGGGAAATCCCGCGGCTGCTGCGGTCTGGTCGGCAATATTCTCACCCTTTGTTCCATGCGATAGTGCTCAATACGCGCGGGGAGTTCAGCCGAGAACATCGTGGGAAAGCTCTTTGGCAGGCGCACGTTCAGGTGACGCACAAATTTGCTTTCGCGAAGAATCCGTTGGCCTCGAGCTCTAGAAAGCGGCAAAACTACTTGCTTCTTCTACTCTGCAAATACAAACCGGACGATGTGCAGGGAAAGTGTTGCATCCTGCACTGAAACGCTTTGACGATCTATTCCAATTGAACGACCAGCATCACCAAAGTAACCCGCACATTTTTTTCGTCGCCAGGTTGCCATTGCAGCCCTCCCATGCCTGTCGTCCGCCGGCGCCACCTCCATCCTTTCCCGGGCCGAGGCGCTATTCCGGCGGCTGGCTTTCCTCGACGGGGATGGCGTGTGGCTGTTGCTGATGCAGACAATGGATACCGCCACTCAGCAGCGATGCCCGCAGCAGCAGCAGCAGCCGCCGCAGCAGCCATATTCGCGAAGGAATCACCATCAGCATCTGCAGCATTGTGCCTCCGTTGACGGCCAGAGAGGGGATGTAACATCAGACGGCGGCAGAGGCGCAAGTGGATGGGTTGCGTCGCCCCCAACAGTCGCAGCAAGGTTGAGGTCGGATGCGGGTGGCTCGTCTGCCGGTACGGGCGATGCGGGGTGCAGTAGCAGCCAAGGTGGCAGTGGCGACGGAACCTCGTCGCGGCTGCCAGGTTGTCCTACCCTGGAAGACACCGTGCTTTCGGAGCTGTCAGCGGTGGGGGCAACAACCGGCAGGCGGCCTGCGGCTTTGCTCGAGAGGCGATCCGTGTTCTCTGGGGGGGCGGGGCGGGTTGCCGTAGAGTGTGCCCCCGCGGCGTCTAGGCTATTGGGTATGTTGGGCGACCACGGAGGTGTGGTTGAGCACATGTAGGCTCTCAACCCAGATATGTTTCCAGCGGTGTCGGCATACATGTATCCTGTGGTTCTCAGGACCTCGGAATGCCACCCAGTGATGGCAGAGTAAACATTCCCGAGGGTGAAATTTCTGCTGCAAACTGCATCACAAGAGAGATTCTCTTTTCGGTCTGTTTCCCTTGTATATGTACGAACTGTGGTCGTTTGTCCGAAAGTCCCTCGTAGGAGTTTCACCCAATGTTGCGAGTGTTGAAGCCTAGAGTGAATGTGAGCCCTTTCACCAAGATACCGTCCGGTAGTCCGGTGGTCCACTTCTGTGCTCTGCTGTATTACTCCGATTGCTGCGGTAGCGGCTTGCCCGGGGCGCAGGTTCGCATGTGTTAGACCTCCGACAGACAGGCACCACACGGGTAATATCTTGGTAGGCTCCCGCAATGCGGGGATGGCAAGTGTGATTCAGGACATTGTGATCTTTGGAAGTGGGTGAACCAATGTGATGTGTTTGTTGTCCAGGACTCCAGATAGCGGCTAGGACAGAGTACTGCCATCCCGGACACCAACGCTGTTTGTACGGTAGTGTTGTCTACACCTGAAAGAGTCGGATTTTCGCAAACCAATCCTCAAAGTGGAGCCAGCTTCCCGATGACCCCCGTCACCAATCATGTCGTCTCCTGTAGTTCCCAGCAGCAAATTGAGCAACCAGAGGGTTGAAGGCGCACTGCCGGCCCTCTCCGAGAGGAAAATTCGGAAATTGGACATACTCTTGCTCTGAAGACGTTGGCATGGCTTCCTCACCGAAGGAAAGAAAAATCCGCTCCCCCTCTCTCTGGTTTTTCGCCTTTGCCTTGCGGTGGGCGGGTGTCTCCAGCCGAGGCCGGTCTGTCACATATCACCACGTGGCAGAATTTGCTGCTTGCATATCCTCAAACGCCTGCTGCGTGTTGGGAATCAGGGAGGACACCAATGGTGCGGCTTGGCCATCAAACCTGTAGACCTTGCTTTGTGTGCGGCGGGTTGGGGGTGGGGGGAAGAGTCTACAGCTGGCACGGGGCGAAGAGGGAAAAAATCGGAAATCGTTCATACACCTGTAGTCATTCGGCTACACCTGTGTGGACCTTGCGGGCAAATAGACCCTGCACGGACACTGTGACACCCTGGGAAGGTAATTGGTGTTTGCGGCCTACGCCACTTATTGATCGGGTGAGACTGTTTTGGTGATGTATTAACGCCACGAGATGTAGACGACCGTCCTTCATACGGACGAAAGAGGGAGTGCTCAAAAAGCGGCTACCACAGTAAGGAGGGGCTCCGTGAACCATCGCGGGGCCCCCTACCAAACGGCAATCTTACCAGTCTGCGTGACACCAATGTTCGCAGACCCACCAACACCCTCCCTAGTGCTTCACGCAAGTGACTAGCCATCAATGGGGCAAGAACGCCCCTGGATACATCAGAAGATACCAACATCGTAATATATGGAGGGGAAACCCGGCGTCCGGGCAAAACCCCTAGAAAAACCCCTACCACCACAAAACCGTCGCTATCACAGCGGATCACAACGGCCGCATTCATTAGAAAGGCCAAGGCGAAGACAAGAACGCGAGGAACTACGTTCCCCCGGACGATGGTCTCCCAACGCCACCTACTCCTGCCATTGGTACACAGACCGCAAAAGTTATGCGCCTTTTCCCTCATGGGAAACATGACCTCTCCCAAGTGCTACGAACTGCTACAGCTACTCCGGCAAAATATATCAACTTGCGCCGGTGGTACTGCAGACTAGACCTGCTAAGGGCCTTGGTAGGAGGTCCGCGTATTGCTCCGTTGTCGGAACGAACTTGATTGACCGAAATATCCCCCGACCTAAACAATCCACGGATGAAATGGAATCTCCCGTCGATGTGCTTCGTGCGACCTGAGCTGAGGGGGTTCTGCACCAACGCTATGGCCCCCTGGTTGTCCTCAAGGACCTGGATGCTGCTACCACTGGTCTCTGGGGCAACAAACGAAAGCACAGCACGCGCAAACAACGCCTCCTTGACGCCCTCCCCGGCAGCAATGTACTCGGCTTCCGTCGAAGACAGAGACACGATGCCCCCCAAAAAACACAAAAAAAACGAAACACCCCTGCATGACATGGAGAGAGTTCGTGAACGCCCAAGTGGCAAAGAACCTCGCGCTTCTATAGTGCTGCTTCTGTCACGTGTTACCGACCATGTTTAACTCAACATATGTCTCTGATGTCCATCTGTCGCGCTGGTTTCGCGGAGTGTGCTTCGGTTAACAGCATCTTTGCCTGGCCAAGAAGATAGTATGGTGCGCTGCCTCGCTTAGTCCACGACTCCTGACACTCTTGAAGCGATCCAAAATGCTACGATAACTCCGAGTAGGGCGGCGGCGCCATCACTTCCCCGCCCCCCGCACCGCCAACTTCTCCAGCCCCATCTACCTCTATTTCTCTTTTTCGTTTAGTGGGTTCGAGATGGGTGGGGAAGCCTGCATGTTCTTCGATGGACACTCGTGGCAGGTGCGGTGCATCTCGATGCCATCGAGAATCTCCACCTCCCCACACATCAAGTGCAGGCGTACACTGCAGCCACCATGGCAAGCACGCCCTGGGTGCCCCCAGTTCCACATCCGGCTGTTTGTGCAACTCTCCATCGGCGCACGGCATGTTGCGTGTATGTACGTGTCCCGCGGTCTTGTGTCTTTGTGTGTGGAGGAACGCGGGGTCTCCGCCAAATTTGAACCGGTGGTCACTATTGCCCGCTGAAAAACGCCCAACAGTCTAACGCTATTGAGGGTTCGACCGGTTTAGCGACCATATGGTCGCTAAACCGGGGTGCAGCGGTGTCTCGAGATTTCGGGGTCGCTAAACAGGGCATGTCACTACACAGGGGTCGCTAAACCGAGGCCCCCACTGTACATACATCGCCACAGTCCGTGTGATGATTATTTGTCGTCTGCGTTGTCCCGTTGAAGAAGAACAAAAAAAAAATGCACGCGAAAATACAGAGCTTTACGGTCATGGTAATATAAGGCGAGACAGGCACACATAAAGAGAGAGGGGCGAAAAAAAATACATAAAAAGGCGAGAGACAATAGGTGTTAAAAGCAAAAAGGGGGGAGAAGGGGATCGAGAGGAGGTCTGATTATGTATGATCAGCAATCACACGTTGTGTTGTGTTGTTTATCGACTGCTACACAGCGGGAGACAAGCTGGGGGGCAGCAGTTCGTTACAGATGAGAACGGCGTGCTGCTCCGGAACAAGAATGCCATCCTCAAGCGGTGGCGGAGATTCTTCGATACCCTCCTGAACTCCAAGTCCCCCACCCTGAACCCAGACGTTGTCGAACAGGTGACGCAACGACCAGCGACGCGCGCCACCCGACGCCTGGCGGCGGTACCAGACCTCGAGGAGGTTGAGGTGGCAACGAAAGGTTTGGGGAACTGGAAGGCGGTTGGNTTCGCTGCTCTCGCATGTAGGCAAAATATTCGCCAAGACCATCACCAACCGCCTGAGCGCATTCTGCGAAGCCAAGGAAATCCTCCCGGAGGAACAGTGCGGGTTCCGGCCTGGCCGATCCACGGTATGCATGCTGTTCGTTGTGCGCCGACTCCAGGAGCTGGGGCGGAGGAGGAGAATCCCGCTCTACATGTGCTTCATCGATCTGCAGAAGGCCTACGACTCGGTGGACCGGGAGCTGCAGTGGAAGGTGCTGGCCCGGGCCGGGATCCCCGCGGAGATGATCGCCGTCATCCGCAAGTTCCACGTCGGAATGCGGGCCCGGGTCCGCACGGACGATGGGGAGCTATCGGACTGGTTCCCGGTCACGCAGGGATTACGACAAGGGTGCTCAATGTCCCCACTGCTGTTCAACGTCTTCTTCGCAGCGCCTCTCGAGATCATTGTCACACGGTTCAGCCAAGATGAGGTTATCGTGCGGGACCTAGTGTACTTGAAGGAGGAGGAACGGAGGGGGGGGGGATTGCTGGACCGAGTCCGGAGGGCGGTGTGGGGGATGCTATATGCCGACGATGCCGGCGTTGTGTCGAAGTCCGCCGACGGCCTGGCGAGGATGATGACCATTATCGTGGAGGTGTTCCGGGAGTTCGGGCTGACGGTGTCGGAGAGGAAGACGGAGACCCTGGTGATGCGGGTGAAGGAGAGACAGCGACCGCCGCCGCCGCCACCGCCGGTGCTGACCATCGAAGCAGCGGGGCAAAGGTACGCACAGACGACCGAGTTCCGATACCTGGGCGGCCTCATCAACGAGCAGGGCGACCTCACCCGAGAGATCAACCACAGGAGCAAAGCAGCGTGGGCGTGCATTAGGCGATACGCCACGGAGCTCTTCGACCGACCGGGAGCACCGTTTCGCCTCAAGGCCCGCCTACTCCAGGCGGAGGCAGTGGCGGCACTGCTATACGGCTGCATGACATGGTCCCCACGCCGCGACCACTACCGGCTGCTGCAGACGACACACCACCGTTTGCTTCTGCGAGTTATCGGCTACCGGCGCAAAGGAGGCACCTACCGGCAGCTGTCATACGCCCAGGCGCTGAAGAGGGTCGGCTGCCAGAGCGTGGAGGCCACTGTCCGTCAACGGCGCCTGCTCTTTGCGGGGGCCGTGGCAAGACAGCCGGACGGGCGGCTTCCGAAACGGCTGATGTTCGGCGAGTTGGTGGGAGGGGAGGACCCGGGCCAGGGAAACCCGGAGCAGAACTGGCTGACATGCCTGAAGGACGACATGAAGATGTTCGAAGCCAGGTACGGCTCCACGACCGACAAGCCGAGCGTCTTCGGAGTCCCGAAGTTAGTCTGGAGTGAGGCGGCGAAGGTGGAGGGGGGGGTACCGTGGCACGCGGGTGTGCTGCAGGGAGCTGAGAGGTTTACGGCCTCTTGGCACAAGGGAAAGGAGAAGGCCAGCCGACAACGAGCCATCAAACGAGGAGACAGCGGGCCCAAAAATAGTCTAGATACGGCACCAATCAACGGGGCGGTAGGGGGGCGGAAGGAAACGGCGGCGCGGGAAGAAAGCAAGCGAGAAGAGACCGACCGCGTGACGTGACATGTTGCGGTCGAATTTCAGCGACTAGTTTTTCTGTTGCCCTCTCCCCCGTTTGCTGTCGCGTTCAGACTGTCTCTACGGATATCCCTTTCTCTGTGCGAGTTTGTTTATGTCCTAGTCTGTCTTTGGTTTAATTCGTTTTATTTTGTTTTGTTTTTTTACTGGCACGTACTGCTGACCCTTGGGGTCCTTCCGGAAGGCTACCCCCCAGGCTGGTGGTGCGCACGTTCCACTACTTATTTATTTATTTGTTTCTGATTCTTTTGTTTTCTTGTATTTTATCGCTCTGCTAACCCTTGGGGTCCATTTTATTTTGGTATACCTTTTCTAGGTACGTTAGCCTGTGACCACGGAAATCGACCGAGTCAAGTGCTGGATTAGTACGGAGAGATTGAGACAGAAGGAGGTACTGGATAGAGAGACCGGGATGGTATATAATGTGAAGACAACAGCAACAACAACAACAACAACAACACAGTTTGGTTCGTTCGTTGTCTCCTTGTTGTTGTTGTTGTTGTTGTCTTCATATTGAAAACCGTTCCGATCTCTCTCTCGTTCTGCCCAGTACCTTCATATGTCCGTACTGATCCAACACTCGACGCGGTCGATTCCCGTTGGTGGTCAATGGCTACTTACTACCCTAAACTGGCCCCGAGGGGTCTTCCCGTCCGCCTTGAAGAAGAATCAAAGCACACGCAAAAAAAAAAAAAGGCGAGGAAGGCTGATGATGATGATCTCAGCAAGGATGATCATGGCACGTTGTTGTTGAAGAGTTGTCTGATTAAAAAGTAAAATAAATGAGGCACACCGCCGACCGCCGCCGAAGAACTTGCTCTTCTGTGACGAAAGAACGAAGAAAAATGTGCATAGATAGAATCGATCGATGGACACAATTAATAAGTCGAGGAAGGCTGATTGATGATGATGATGATGATCTCAGCAACGATTGTCATGACACGTTGTTGTTAAAAATACAGTACATATATTACGATTTAGCAGACCACGCGCTGGCTCGAGGGGGGGGGGTCCGAGGGGGGGGTTACCCCCCCCCCGC